AACGTGAGTGCCTTGAAGCCATACTCACTCCGTGTCTGTGTAGAATTTCCCACTGGAAAGGCCGAAGTCCTGGGTATGTGGATACTAGGGTTCTCTTGTCTCTGAGGCTGCAACAGCCACACAATCCTTCTATCTTCAAGGCAGCAATAGAACGCCGATTTCTGGTACTTGGAATTTAACTCCCTGTTCTGCGCTCTGAGGAAGGAAACTCTTCTTTAAAGGACTCATGATTAAATTAGGCTCATGGAATGATTTCCTCAATGGTTAACTCAAAATTAACTTTTTTTTTTTAAGTAGGCAAATAAATGTTTCAGAATTAACTAATTTTAGCCCTTGGTTAGATCTAACATTTCCTTGACTGTGCAACATAAAATAATACATGATGTGAAAAACAGGGAGGTGGAAGTTAGCAGAACCATCTTAAAATTCTGCCTCCATTACCCACCATAAAACCTTCAAATGCTAGGTCCTTCCAGCTTTCTTGTAGCTGAAGTATATCATGTGATAGCAAATACCCATGAGATCTGTCTGTACCCCAGTTCAGCAGTCGAAGTCATCTTTATTATATTTCTACTCAAGCTTTTGTTAGATGAAGAGATAGGTATGGCATTTCCAGTAAGGAGCAAAATACAACATCCTCTGCTCCATTTCTCGGGAGCATTAGGAAGGCGCGGAGACGCTGAGCCACCTTGATCTGCAGTTTAAGAATGCAGGTCAGAGTGTAGTATGTGTCATAACAACTTCTGTGGACGTCCCTCAGGGGCTTATTCTGGAGTGGGAATATGAGCCTAAAAGACTCAAGAGCTATGCTCCCTCGACTCTAATACATTTATGTCCTAGCAGAGAGAAACCAAAACCTCACTGGTGCAAACACCAACTGAACTCAGTTATTTGTACCAGCAAGTGTTCGTAGGTTCAGCAGAGACTCAGAAACATGGCACTGTGACAGAAATAACCAAGCCAGGGACTCTGGATGCTAGAGTCATCAGGCCACAACAGTATTCGTAAACATTATTTCACAGAAGTAATGCCACACTTTAAAATGGAAACGATCTAGTAACTACAGAAATTTAACAGAAAGAAAAACAAGTAGAAATTATATAGTTGACCATCAGATTACACAGTTACCAAGATCCCAGGGAATTGGAAGAGAGGCTAGAAGAAAGTGTACAGGAATCATGGAGGCAATGGTCATGGAGATTCTAAGGGTTTAAATGGAGTCCTAGAGAAGGGACAGGAAGGGAGTACTGCCGTGTGTGTGTGTGTGTGTGTGTGTGTGTGTGTGTGTGTGTGTGTGTGTGTGTGTGTGTGTGTATGGACACGTGTGTACAAGGTGATCCCACCAGTCTAGGAAGGAAGCTGCACTAGGGAGAGTGATCTTGGCTAAAGGGGATCCTTCCAGCCAAGCACACGTCCTGAACAGACAGATAAAAGGAGTTTTATCAACTGATAAACACTCTTAGCACCTACATGAATAAAGACTGTAGGCCAGAATGTCACAGCATTCAGAATGTATACATCAGCATTAGATAAGTGACCTTTATGATAAAAAAGGTCTGCCTAAAGATAATGCCTGAATTTCAATGAAGGCTGAATTTAGTCAAGAGAATAAAATTTAAATATAAATCTCCTAATGATGCGGTCTCAAAACATAAAAATTAGAGAAATATAAATCCACATTATAGTATAAATTACACCAACATATCTTAGTATTTTATTAGAGAAGGATCCACACAAGCACAGACTTAATGACAATATAACATCCTGCAAAAATTTCAGTATATGCTTTCAAGTGGCATTGCATTTGATTCTTAGACCCAAATGTAAAATGTAAAGCTCTTTTAAATTCTTCAGATGTCATAGAAGAAACATTAGGTGAGTTTGGTTTTTGGTGATAAATCCCCCCACTCCCCAGAGCTCAGGGAACCCCATGGAAGAGAAGGCAGCAAGTGTCTAAAAAGCCATAGGGGATAGAGGATATAAAGAAAACAAGCTCTCTAAATCAACAGGAATAAAGCTCTTAGGAACTCAAGAGACTGAAGCAGCATGCACAGGTCTGCACCGGGTTCTCATATAAACTTCCAGTTTAATATTTTGGTGAGATTCTGAGAATTCGAACCAGTGGGTATCTGATTCTTGTGCCTTCTCCTGGGTTTTCTGTTGGTTTGTCTTGTCCAACTTTGATGTGATTTTTATCTTGTATTTTATTGTTTTCTTTTTAAGAAATGAATGAATGAATGAATGAATTTATTCTGTTTGGGGGGTGGTTTATTCTGTTATCTATTTGGGGGGATATTGGTATACTGGTGTTTCGTTTTGTTTTTTGAGAAAGAACTTAAAGTTAGGTGGGTGTGGAGGGGGAGAGGATCTGGAAGGTTTTGGGAGGGGAAGAATATGATCAAAATATATTTAACATTAAAAATGGCTTAAATAAAACTATATCATCTGATATATAGATATATATCTGATATATATCAGATGATACAGTTTTATTAATATATATATAAGGAACTCTTAAACTTTAACTCAAAGATCAGAAATAATTTCAGCTCTAAACAATGGCAAAGATCTGGATAGCTCACCCGAGTTCAAATAGAACATAAGCCTATGAATGTCAGAGCTGCAGACTAAATATGGTCAGGCACACGAAACGGCTAAAAAGAGGGCAGCATGGTTATGTGAACCTATAATCCCAATCTCAGCACTGGAGAAGCTGATGGACATGGATCTCTCCGAGTTCAAGGTCCCTAATAACCCCAAACAAAAGATGAGAAAATATAAACAGGAACTCGTACTGCTGGTGAAAATGCAGTAACCTCCTGGGAAGGCAGTTTGGCAGTTTCTGACAGAACTAAATATCCCTACCATATGATCCTACAATCACAGGCCTTGGGTTTTATCCAAGTGAGTTGAAAACCTGTCCATACACATAAAAATGTGTATAAAGGTTTATAGCAGCTGTTTTCATAATCACCAAAACTTGATGGGTCAGTAGGTGGACAAGCTACGCACCCATCCATTTTTATCTTAAAATCAGAGGAAAACAATTGGCTTCTAAGAATAACCCAAAATAAAGAGAAAAGGCTGTTCTAAGAGGCTGACTGGAAGCCATGGCAAAGAATAAGCAAAGAAATATGGAAAATATAGTTAACCCTTGAACGCCACTTCTGGATAGTTTTATGTCAACTTGACACTACCTAGAGTCATCTGAAAGAAGGGAACCTCAGTTGAGAAAATGCTACTGTGAGATCAAGCTATAGGGCATTTTCTTAATTAGTGATTGATGGGGGAGGCCCCAGCCCACGGTGGATGGCACCATACCTGGGCTGCTGGTTCTGGGCTCTATAAGAAAGCAGGCTGCACAAGCCATAAGGCGCAAGGCAGTAAGCACCTCCCCTTCTTGGCCTCTGCATCAGCTCCTGCCTCCAGGATCCTGCCCTGTGAGTTCCTGCTCTGACTTCCTTCAGTGATGGACTACAAGGTGGAATCACAAGCAAAATAAACCCTTTCCTCCCAGACTTGCTTTTGGTCATGGTGTTTCATCACAGCAATAGTAAACCTAACTAAGACCACCATGGTACAGCCTCTCCAGTTGAAAAGTGAAGTGTTAATACCCTCAATCCTTAACCACTAATGTTCTAGGTGTTCTGGAAGCAAGCTCATACAAGAGCAACCAGAAGTAACTGCCACGTTGCTATAAGATAGCATACTATACTAGCATGATCCTACTAGCCTTAGATTTAATGCTTACATTTCTCTGTACTCTTGAAATCTTAGTCTTGGTAAATCTTAGTTTTGGCAAATTTTAACTTTTATAATAGATTTGTACACATTTTGATAATTATGTACATCTATTTTATGCATCGACATACCTTTTATGAAACTTTCAATAGTTATAGGTCATAAAATGTGCAACCTTTTCAAATCAAATCTTCTTGATCCCCTGCCCTCCAAGACGGGTCAGTGAATTCATCAAATTCTTCATACCCATGTTGTTCAAGGGTCAGCAATACAAGAAGAATGCTTAGAAAAATTCCCCCAAAACTCTACTACACTAAAGCTCTATGGAATGACTCACCTATCCAGGCTTTGTTTTCAAGAAAGACAGCACTCATTCTATCTTAAACCTAACTTGAAAATTACTGACATGAATTAAATTTAAGAACGAGAAAGTCACAATTTAAAAGATGTCCCCTCATTCAGCAGGAATGGCTGGATGTCATTCACAGTTCACACTGATTGTGTGATGCTTCCCAAACAGTTGCTCTCATGATGTTCTCAATACCCAGTTTTATTCTCATGCCCTACCATTCACCTCACGGTTGGTGCCATTTTCTCCTGGCACTTGCTTTCCATATGAAAAGCAGCACATTGGACCATTTTCAAGGTCAAGAAACAGCATACCTATCCAGAGTGACTGATTTTCTCCCAAGACAGGAATACTTTTAAACCAAATCATTTGACATGAGGTGAAGAATCAAAACACTCTATGTGTAAGTCAATTAGGCAAAGAAGCAACTGAGCACATGGAAAGATGCTCATCGCTAATCATAGAAGCAAAAATAAAACAAAACACTTAACTGAATGTTAAAAATCAAACGAAAAACCAATGGAAATTATCAAGTACAAACAAGCCATTAGGCAGGCAAAAGTGGCGCAGTCACTCGAGGAAAGTCTGGTAGTTTCTTAAAGACACACTGTACCAGGTGGCTGGAGAGAGGACTCAGTCATCTGAGTAAGGGTTAACTGACAGAAGACTTGAGTTCAGTTCCCAGCATCCACAAGGCAGCTCACAATGCCTGTAGTTTCAGCTCCAGGGGATCCAATGCTTTCTTTTGCATATATGTGATACATATAAACTTACACAGGCATATATACACACGAATCAAACTAAAAATCTTAAAAAAAAAAAAAAAGACATACTTTACCATCTAATGGAATGATCTGAATCCAAGATATTTACACAGGAAGTGAAAACATGGAACCATATGACAACTGTACACATTTAAAGCAGCTTTATTCATTAACAGCAAAAATGCTGAAAATATGTAAAATGTCCATCAAGTGGTAAATGAATACAATGACATAACCATAAGAGAATACTAAACAATAAAAATTACTAATATGTACAGTAAGTATATACATTATCTCAGTGCTTTATATTAAGTGAAAAGGGCTGGTCATGTAGATTGTGTGAATTCATTACTGGAAATTCTAGAAAAGACAAAACTATTGATAAAAAGCTGATCACTGGGTGCCACAGGGTAGAAGCGAGGCAAGGGCAATTTTGCCTGCAAAAGCAACAAGAGAAAATTTTAGGTTGATGGGAATGTTCTACATCAAGATGGTGGTGTTAGCTACATGATTTTATACAGTAGATAAAATACACTGAAACTACTCTTAAATTGGCTAATTATATATAATACCTTAAAGCTTCAAGAAGGTATGGGAATATATCAAAAACTAACAATGGAAACATGATTTACTTTGCTGGACACATTTTCAAATATTGGCAAGATATTTTTTTAAAAAATCAGAATAAAATGCTGTTTAACAAATAGGATGATTACAAATATATGGATATACAACATAATTATAGTTACTTAATAAATACAAACTCAGTGTTGAGAATGAGAAGAAATGTGCCACCATTTACTTAGTCTGGGTGCACGGATACTGAAATAATTTTAAAGTAGATTTTGTTTTACAAATGCAGTAAAATATAGTTTGCAATTAATTCACTTAAAATTATCTAGCTTTTTTTTTCCAGGGCAGTTACTTAGGAAGGTATCATACATATGTACTTAATGCTCTTAAAGCATTATGCAGTGATATATTTCATTTCTCCTCATAAGTTTGTTTCAGTGTTTTTTCCAACTTATTCTCTGTTGTGCAAAGGGATAAAAGACACAGGCTTTCATTCTTGATGACCTATTTTTTAAGAACACCACAAAAGTCATTTTGAGGCTTGGAATGCACTTTCCAGTTAGCAGTCCTAGTTTGTAATCAAAAGAAGCAAAATCTTCAGAGCACCTGCAATTCACCCTCCACCCTATTTAGCTTTGGCAGAGACATCAAGAGGCGGTGGCAATACCACACTTATCTTTGTGAACTGCTCATCTATAAACAGTTCTGAAATATGCTTTCATTGCTGTGGAGAATAAATACTTGCTTGAAACACACCTTGACTTTAGGGTCAAAACTAATAGCTATAGTACTGTAACACCACTATCACTATAAGAGCTCAGGGACAGTTTTGGTGAGACAATCCAAAAGAACAAAATTAAAATGCAATACAATCAAATCTCTACACAGTGCCAGGTGACATACACTCTGACATGGGAGCAGTAGCTGAACCAGTGCAGTCAGCAAATCCATGGCCATATTATGCATATAACCTGATCATCTCACTAAACGAGGGAAATAAGACCAAACCTGATTATCTTACAACGAGAAAACCAACATCATTAAGCTAGAGTTAATGACTTGAACAAGGAACCAAGAAAAAGAGTCAAAACACTAAAAAACCAACAGCTCTAACCAGCCTGAAATTAGCCATGTTTTGTCTCACTCCACTAAGAGTGTAAAGAAGCAGAAAAATGGTGTAGTATAGGCTGGAGATGTGGCTCAGTAATCCAGCACTTTTGTCTAGCATGTGTGAAGCCCTTGGCTCAACCATCTCCAGAATCTTCTGTACAAAAGTTAAATGGTAAAATAGATTAATAAATGTTAAAAAATATTTCATGGACAAATAGTAACAAAGACTATGTGAGAACTATATGCATCAGACACTAGTCTATGGTCTTTTACACACATATTACCATGTTTAATCCTCACAACCTTTACCTGCCCTTCAGATAAGGAAAAGAGGCTGAGCTGAGACAGAACCTCTGCCATCACATCCAGACATGTGCTCAGTTGCTACACTATGCTACACAGGGCAGCAAGTTGGTATAAGAACACATTTAAAAAGTTAAAAAATGAAACAAAAATAACACTAAATGAGCCAAGTGATAGGTCGAACTCTAGAAAACAAACCAAGAAGTTAGCTGAGATTTACACATTGTACATTTTATTAAATACTGAGCTTTATTACAACAAATTTACTTGTAATAGAAGTTCATTTTTAAAAATGTGGTTGTATTCAAATTCTTACTTCACACTGCTTTTTGGCCAAACATTCTATTCTTACTGTCTAGAGACAGTCACTATGGACAGAAAATTAATTTTGCATAATGGCATAAAGGGATTTGTCAATGTTACAACACTTAATATATGGAAGAAGAATACTCCCGAAGTGTGGACATATCTACAATAGAGTATATGATCAGAGAGCATACTGCTTTTCCCAGTGTCTTTATAGACGACACTGTTTAATCATGCACATTAACTCTTTACTACCCACTTAAAGTTTCTATCTTACACACAACAGCGATTCAGAACCCAAGGCTTGACATTTTGCCAAAAACTAAAAAAGAGAAAAAAAAGAGAGAGAAACATGAACATCAGGATGAGTTTTAGGCCATCACAGAAAGCTGTCAGCTATAATATCCCTCCTGTGACCGTGGTGGCAAGTTCCTTGGAACGGCCTTTTCCTGTGTTTTGATTAAGTCTAGAATAGCTGACAGTACCGCACAGTCTCTGGACTTAGTATCATTCCAGTCTACAGGATGAGGGCATTCGATCTTCTCTTGCAGAAGGATATCCAGTTCCTTTCTTAGCCCCTAAGGTTGAAGGAAGCAGACAGGCTCATCAGGGAAGATGGATTTTTAGACAATATCAAAGACAAATGTTACTGTAGCATGACAAGGATTTTTATAAGCTATTAGAAAGAAAGGCAAAATATCTATAGAACAACCAACTAAATGTATGGTTAAAAGATTCAAACTTTCATCCTTAAAAGTCTTTGGAAGAGTATATTACTACATCAAAAAGAACTGAGAAAACTAAAATTGGTCAACACTACTGGCTCTTTTGCAAGAGAGCAAGAAACAGTCTTTTTAAAAACATTTATTTATCTTGAGGACCACATGATGTGTGCCATGGACTGTGTATGGAGGTCAGAGAACAATTTTCATTAGTCAGTTACATACTTCTACCATGTGTGCATCAAGGACAATGTTTCAGGCTCGGCTGCGATCTGCTTTACATGCTGGGCCATCTGGTGGCCCCCAAGATCACATACTCACTTGCATGCAAACTTACAGACAACCATTCACATTAGTCACCTTAACAAGATGGGCAATTCTTTCTGGAGACTGAAACACAATCCATTCATCTACAGCAATAACTTCCTGACCATTATCTTTCTGGATGGAAATATCTCCCCCAAAGAACAACAGGCAGTATGGTGAAACTTCTGTACAGTCGTACAAGTAAATCTGTAAAGAGCGTTAACGTAAATAGGTGCATGAGGGAGCAGGAAAGGACTACTACCATACCAATTCAACATCACAAGCATTGATCAGCTTCTTTCCAAAATAGGTATTAACTTGCTAAAGTGATTTTGAAGATTAATTTTGAAGAAGTAACATTTTAAGTAAACCATTCTTAATTCCTTGAGATTTTATTTTTTTGTTCTAAAGCATATGATTTCCCTTGAACATTTTCTGAATGTCAAAACTAATGAATAAAGCTAAAAATATTTATTTCTATATCAACATATAAACATAGAACCCACTTACTATTCTGATCACTACTAAGCCTATTAACTTATTATATAGATGGATATATTATCATGCCAACAAATCTTTACATAATGCACACTCCTGACAGCACTTTTTGAAAGCAGGCTCTAAAGAAAAACCACATAAATCAAATAACTGATATACTTCATGAAAATGTACAAAAAGTACATTACTCATAGAAAAAAAGCTATAATTTATCTTGGAAAAAATAGAATTTTGAAAGTAGAAAATTATAAACCTGTAACACTGACATTCAGACTTACAACTATGTTAAATGTTCACTTACACTGCTTGTCCTCATCTTCAGGTGATAGATAAGCCAGTTATAGTGGAAGTCTGTTTGCTCCACATTGACAGACTTAGGATGAATAGAAACCAGACCATCAGACTTTGTGTGAACTTTTACCCTTTAAAAAAGTTATAATACAGTTCATAAGTGTCTTAAGGGATTTTTCCCTCATTACTACAAAAAATTACTTTAAAAAAATAATAGGTAGCTTAGTAAAAAAATCTAACAAAGGAAGCAATCTTTAAAAATGTACCACACATGAATTTAGTATAAGTCTACAATATATACAACTCAAAATCAGCTCCTGGGGAAAGTAGAATTTTATAAAGGGCAGGTGAAAGTACATGAGCAAAATATGAATATCCTATATCATAACAATGAATCCCCCTTACAGTTTTAATAATTTAATACAGCAGACAGGTGACAGACTGTTCCTTAATGGTGTTAGTATACAGTACACAATGAAGAATAAAGAAAGCATGAGAAATGATTAGGAAGGAGCTTGTTCGAAGAGTCTACATTTTACTATGACCATCACCATGATGACCATCACCCTCAAGTTATACAGTAACTGTGAAATAATCAACTAAAAACTTCCAGTGACTAACTGTATCCCCAGAAGACCACAAAATTAAAAATTAAAATTTTGTTCAAAAGAGACTTTTGATAAAACTGATTTTTAAAATTTCTTTTAGATTTACTTTATGTGCCTGAGTGCTTTGCCTGAATGTATGTATGTGCAGCACTTGTGTGCTTGGTGCCCACAGAGGCCAGAGGAGGGCACTGGATCCCCTAAGACTGGAGTTACAGAGTTTTGAGTGGCCATGTGGGTGGTGGGAATAGAACCTGGATCCCATGGAAGAGCAGACAGTGCTCTTAACTGCTGAGCCACCTCTTCAGTCCCTTTAAAATGTTTTTAAATGCCTTCCATTCACTCAAATTTCTCAATTTCAAAAATAGATATATTTGGAATTAATACATCTTGGCAGTTTATTCTTTAAATTCTTAGGGGGCTTTCTCATTACAGTGGTTTATTTTGTGTGGGGCAGGAGTGCATGTGTGACAGTAAGGTGACAACTAGGATAGGACCATTCTCTCCCATCAAGATGTTAGTTTCAGGGAGGGGTATTGTGGAATATTATTTTAAGATCTGTTACATTTGTTTATACTGTGGAACATTTGTTTAGTGATACAAAGATGTGTGGCATTCTCTAATCTTTCATTTGTTTAACTCTGTGAAGCTGTGTTACTTTGCCTGTCTAAAACATTTGATTGGTCTAATAAAGATCTGAACAACCAATAGCTTGGCAGGAAAGACTAAGTGGGGCTGGCAGGCAGAGAGAATAAATAGGAGAGATCTGGGGAAAAAGGTTCAAGGAAAAAGAAGGAGCAAGAAAAGGACGAGGGGAAGACATAAGGGGCCAGCTACCCAGCCTCACAACCAGCAACCGAGTAAGTAAGGAAAAAAGATATACAGAAATAGAAAAGGGTAAAAGCCCAGAGGCACAAGATAGATGGGATAATTTAAGAAAAGATGCTAGAAATATGTCAAGCTAAGGGCACCACAGTTTGAGAATCACAGCCCTAGAACAGTATCCTAATGATGGTCATTTTTGGCAGTCTATATTTTCCATTTTTATAATCACAAGATACCCAGCATTTTCATTTACATTAATCCTAATTTTTCACATGTTACTACACAGTTTTAAACCACAACTTTCCCACTGCTACTAGACACCTAGTCTATTTGCTACACACCTGTTAAAAAGTATCTGTAATCAATTCCTTAGGATAAACTCAAATTAAAATCTGAATTTAATCAATGAACTGAGCTGATCCAATGACTATTTCACTGAACATCTTCCAAAGGGTAACAACAATTCAATACCCCTTGGCCTCTTCTGACTCTCAGTACCCTCACCAGAGTATACCATGAAGCAGGAAAATTCCTGTTATTTCCAACTGGTACTAAGGCTATGTGGACATAGATTCCACTTCTCCAAAAATGAAACTACAATTTTATTCAAATAGCTGTAACAAAAATATCCTTTTTTACAAGGAAAAGGAAAACATGTACATATAAACAAAATCTATTCCAGTCAATTTCTCCTTAGGCATTTCTTCTCATACTGCTCGGTCAGCCTTGAATGTTTACAGAAGTTCCACGTTTTACTAACCTGTTTTGTAAATGGGTGATCATATGAGTGACTAAATCTGTGTGTGAGGAACAGTTCCCTATGCTCAATAATTCCTATGCATCTATGACATGCCAAGAATCCAGCAACAAGAGTGAGAATACATTTCTATTAGAGGGTTCCAAAGCTGAAGGAAGAGCTGCAAGTAGTTCATAACAATCTTCAATGCTTACATTTTTCTTTTTTTACCCAAATTTAGTCGGATTTTAGCAACTTTGGGATATAAACCAGCACAGATGACAGCTTTAATTATCTTCTCATTATCTATTGGGAGTAGGAAAGTAGAGGGGGGAAAAAAGCAAAATATTTAGACAGTGGTCCATTATTGGCAAGTGATTTACACTGTGTGTGTGTGTGTGTGTGTGTGTGTGTGTGTGTGTGTGTGTGTATGTGTGTTTTGCTTTGCTTTGCTTTACCTGAATTTATATTAGCTTTAGGATCTTTGGGACTTCTGCTGCTTACAAATCCAGCTCCAAGAAGATGCTCAGCAAATTGTCCCTTCATATTATGCAGCATCTAGAGGGTAATGGTAACAAATAGCTAGAAACCCTTCACACACAAAGCCTATAAATCATAAGCAACTCAATTTAGCTTCTCCTGCTTTACAGAAACACTAGTATAAAAATGTGATACGTTTAAGACAAGATTTATTTTTAGCTATGTGTGTGTGTACATTTCGTGTGAGTCCAAGTGCCTGTGGAGGCCTGAAGGCTTGAGGTCACTTACAGCTAGAGTTACAGGCAGTTAAGAGCCACCAACACACATGTGCTGGGAACCAACTTGGGTCCTCTGCAGTAAGAGCTTTTAACTGCTGAGCTATCTCTGCAGCTCAGCTCTTAAATGTGACCATTTAAGGAGGGAATTAGTAAATCACAAAACTGTAAATAAATTTTACTAGAACATAACTATATTCTACTGTCTATTCTTTTTGATTGTTTTTGTACTCTAATAACAGAGCTGAATGCTTTTTAAAATACATAGCCTGCAAGTCTAAACTATTATTTGGTGGGGGAAAAAAAAATGCAAAAAATAATGAATAAAAGGGGAAAAAACCCCACTAATGTTTAAATTAATTAATCCATTTTGTAAGACACATGAGTTTTGGAATTGCTCTTAACAAGCAGAAACAACAACAACAAAACAATTACCAAGATCAACTACTGTTAACATACTGACACAGGAGTATTTTCCTTAAGAAAAACCATGAGTTAAGCAGAAATGATGGGTGGCTCAGTACAGAGAAGAAAAAAAAAAATGTTCCTTACCTCAGTTATCTTCATAATCATTAATATTATAGACACTTACTATGTATACACACCAACAGAAGAATCAGAAAGAAGCATAGCTTAAGATGAGATCTATTGTGTTTTGTTTCTTACTTTTGCCTACTAGGTTTTTGAAGCAGAATTTCATATAGCCCAGGTTGGCCTCATACTATGTGGCTGAGGCTGGCCCTGAATTCCTGATCCTCTTCCTGTCTTCACCTCCTGAGTGGTAGGATTACAGGCATGTCATACAACTTCCACCTTAAGATCAGCCTTTAGAATTAGAAGCTGTTTTTCGCCAAGCATTATGATACAGGTCTGTAATCTAAGCCACTTGGGAGACCAAGAAAGAAGTAAGTGCACCAGGACGGCCTGGGCTGCAAGCAAGACTGTCTTAAAAACAAGTTTTTATAAAGTGGAACTAACTTTAGTTCAAATTAAAGAAGTTCCATAGAAATGAAAATGAATCTGTTTTTTACAACCACAGAAATGTTTTCTAATGAATTCTTTCAAGTTTAACAAAGAGATTGTAATACATAAAATTAGCTACATGCAAATGTTTCTTTTGACAAAAGGTACAACTTGGGTTTCTCCAGGTTAATTCTTCTAAATGAGTCTGATAACCACCACCTCCTGGTCATTATGGCATTGTCATTTTAGGGAAACCATCTCTACATACAGTCCTCATGTGTAGTTCCCTCACTACCTTGTGCTCCTTTTATATCTAAACAATTTCAGCATGCACTGTCAATCATGGGGCATGCTAGCTCCACAGTTGAAATCTTCACTGACTCCTTGTCAGTGACTGTTTTCAGGAACTCAAGAGAACAGCATTTCTTGAGTGCTCATCATCTGTCACACACTTGACACATGTCTCAACTTGGATTTAGCCATCTTTCTACAATACAGTACATTTAATTTTTCCATTTCAGAGAACTGTCATTGATACATGTCTGGGTAAGTCTCCACTACACATGATACCTATACAGTAATACTCACTGCACTAATGAATCAGTCTTGTCCTTAACTTTTATCTATCACTTGAACTTTGTGTTTTTTAGCTGCACTCATATTCTGAAACCCTAAAGCTTTCCTTTATGCAAATAATTTGCTTTCTAGGAGTCTGTTTTGTTGTGCTCTTTGATCTTCAATTTGGTTTCTTAGCAGCCCTAAAATTTGCTCTTACTGCTTGCTTTTCTTTTCTTCCTTTCACTGAATGGATAATCTTTTCAGTAACCCTATATATACTATGAAATAGTTGCTAAGGTATTTCTATTGAAATATATCCTTTGTATTTTTTTCTGTAGCATCTTTCTGAGTTGTCCTGTCTCTTTTCACTCTGCTGACGACTGGGCATTTTTTAAATCAGAACGTTAATTTCTCGACACACACATACTCTGTATGTAGTTAATTTTACTACAGATATGAATGGACAAAATATCTGCATATATCCTAATCTAGTATACATAATTAGTGCAAATCTTTCAGTGTTACCTGCAGTGTGTTTGGAGACAGAAAATATTCCCAGCAGTAGTCTTTTTCATATCTGAAACCACGTCGCTTAGCTTCTTCCCAACCCTATTGGACAAAGAAATGACGAAACTCACTTATATGGCTCTCTATACCAAAGACTACTTAGCAGTTTCCATCTCCATTTTATTAACAGTTTAATTCACTGATGTCCCATATTTTCTGTGAAAACGTCATAGAACTTTAACTTTTGACAAAAAAACCTAAGCTCCTTACAATCCCAATATGTAACACTGCTACTGATGTACAAATCAGTATAAGTTATACAAATATATTGTGAATTTTACACAAAATCCACTGTATATCAAGTATTCATCAAAAAAGAGTATTAGTAAATAAATTTCAATGTTAGCATACATTTTCAATTTCAAAAACATGGTTTTCTTAACTAGAATAATAAAAGGGGGGTAGGGCTGGAACAATGGCTCAGCAGTTAAGAACACTGGCAGTTCTTCCAGAAGTTCAATTCCCAGCAACCACATGGTGGCTCACAACCATCTATAATGGGATCTGATGCCCTCTTCTGGCACGTAGGCATATGTGCAGATAGAGCACTCATACACACAAAATAAATAAATAAATAAATAAATGGATAAACAAATAAATAAAAATATAAATAAATAAAGGAGGAAGAAAAGGAAGGGAGGAAGGAAGGAAGGAAGGAAGGGAGGGAGGGAGGGAGGGAGGGAGGGAGAGAGGGAGAGAGGGAGAGAGAGAGAGAGAGAGAGAGAGAGAGAGAGAGAGAGAGAGAGAGGAGGGTGGCCAGCAAGATGCTTAATAGGTAAGTCCCTTCATCCAAGTTTGACAACCAGAGTTAGATCCCTTGATCCCTATATTGTGAAAGGGGAGATCAAACTCACACAAACTGTTCTGACTGCCCCATATGAATGCTGTGACATGTGTACCAACATTACACTCCCCCAACAAAAATAAAAAAAAAAACTAAAAAAAGAAAAGGAAACAAAGAAAGAGATAGATTGAATGAGTTCTGGCCGAGCCAGATCCTGCAAATCCTTTATGAGAATCTAATTGGGTGAGCCCTGCTGTGGGATGTCTTTCTGTGTGCTGTGAATATGTGTTGCTATAATTGGTTAATAAAGAAGCTGCTCTGGTCTATGGCAAGTCAGGTTAGAGCCAGGCAGGAAATCCAAGAGAGAGACAGGAAGAAGAAAGGCAAAGGCAGATGAAATGCAGCCTGTCACCCAAGGAACAACATGCCAGCAGACCAGTAACACCACGGTCACATGGCAACTTACAGATTAATAGAAATAGGTTAATTTAAGATGAAAGAGCTAGCTAGCAAGAATTCTTAGTCATAGATCATACAGTTTGTAATTAATATTAAGCCTCTGAGTGATTATTTTATAAGCAGCTTTGGGACTATGGGTAAGATAGATTTGTCCAGACCCCAGGCCGGGCAGGACACAGGAAATCTTTCTACTACAGAGCCCATCTGACCTTGTCCCCCATATACCCTTCTCAATCCCCTAGATTGAGCACAGGTGCCAAACCCAGTACCTTGGCCTGTTTGGCCACCACTCTTTGTGTGGCCTCCCAACCTCTAGACTCCAGCCACCATCAACCTTCAGGCTCCATACAGACCCCGTATCTTGTGCCAGGGTCTAGTCTGTGAGTCTACCCAATTCTTTCCTCCATGCACCCTCTCTGACCCCCAAGATCTACACGAGAACTCCAGGCTTGGGTTGGAATGCAACATCCTGTACTCCATCCTTGTTTCCTGTTGTCAACCTGACTTCATTCCACCTAAGCCATATCTAAGCGTTAGGCCCCAGCTAGCCTTCACATCCTGTTTATTGCCCCAACATGCTCTGCCCATATCAGACACATTCAACAAGAGTCCACACACCTATATCACATGACAAAAATTACAAACAATATGAAAGATCAAGGCAGTATCTTGCCCCACAAATCCACTAGTCTTATTTGCCCATGAGAATTACCTACATGAACCCCAGAACACAGAATTTAAAAGAACAATCACAAATATCAAAGAACTAAAGGGGCTTAAAGAAGATACAAGGAAAGAGCTCAATGAACATAAAGAGAATAAATACCTGAGTGACTAAGAAAACAGAAACATAAGGCTGATGGAAATGACAAAGACAATCCAGGACTTAAAATCAGTATTCAATAAAGAGATAGAAACATTAACTCGGGCTGAAATGAAGGTAAAATTGAAAACCCAATAACCCAACCAGCAAATTCAAAGGAAAGCCTTACAAGTAGAATGAATCAAGGAGAAAACAGAATATAGGGCAAGAAGATAAAGTAGGATCTACACCAAATAAACAAGGTATATGAAAAAAATTTTAAAAAGCACAAGAAAGGAACATGCAGGAAATGTGTGACACCTTAAAAAGATCAAACTTTGGAATTATAGGAAAGGATGAGGAAGAAGAATCCCAGGTCAGCTGCAAAGACCAGATCCTCAGCAAGATCATAGAAAAAACTTCCCCAAACTAAGGAGAGACACACCCACACAGATTCAACAAGCACACAGAACACCAAACAGACAAGATTAGAAAAGAAAATCCCTAAAACATATCATAGTTAAAACACTAAGTATGCAGAACAAGGCAAGTGTATCAAAAGCAGCAGGAGAAAAAAAAATGGAATCCATATATAAAGGAAAACCCATCAGAATAACAGTTGTTTTCTCAGTGGAAACTTTGAAAGTCAAACAAGTCTGGAGCAATACAGTCCAAGTTCTGAAAGATTAAGACAGCAAATTTAAGCTAGTACACCCAGCAAAGCTAATCACCATGGTTGAAGAAGGAAAAACTTTCTACAACACAAACAGCCTAAGAAAAAAATGATACTAAGCAGACAAACCAAAGAAAATACAGGAAGCACTCTGAGGAGAGAAGTAAGCGCAGTCAAGAGAAATCACTGAAGCAGAAAATACTATCAAGGCCATAGCATCATCAAAACCAACTGTAATCAACACATACCTTTCAATAATAACCTTAAATATTGAGCCATACTACTAGAATTAAAGACACAGACTAATCCACAATAGCAGATGATTTCAATAACCCACTTTCCCCAATAGATAGGTCATTTGGACAAAAAAAACTAAGCAAAGCAACATCAGAATTAAGTAATGGATTGAACAGAAAGAATATTCCACTCAAACACTATAGAATGCACATTCTACTTAGCAGCACATGGAAGCTTCTCTAAAACAGACCACGTCCTAGGACACCAAACAAATCTTAACAAACTCAGAAATACTGAAATAACTACATGTATCCTATCTGACCACAATGTAATCAAATTTAAAAATCAACTCAAACTAATCTCTAATAAACAGACAAACTCATGAAGATCAAACAAATCATGACTGAATGATGAATGGGTCAAAGAATCAAAAATTTCCTAGAATTAAATGAAAATGAAAACACAATATAACAAAATTTCTGGGCATGTGAAAAGCAGTCTTACAAGAAAAAATTGCAGCTCTAAGTGCATACTTTAAAAAAATCTGAGCACAATCAAGTGACCTGATAAAACACAAAATTTGAAAAAATAAGAACCAAACCCAGCCGGGCGGTGGTGGCGCACGCCTTTAATCCCAGCACTCGGGAGGCAGAGCCAGGCGGATCTCTGTGAGTTCGAGGCCAGCTTGGGCTACCAAGTGAGTTCCAGGAAAGGCGCAAAGCTACACAGAGAAACCCTGTCTCGAAAAACCAAAAAAAAAAAAAAAAAAGAAAAAGAATCAAACCCAGTTAATGCCAAGAAAAAAAAGAATCAGAGCCAATATTATAATGAAGTAGTAACAAAGAATCAACAAATCTAAGAGGTGGCTTAATAAATAAAATTAAACGATCCTTAGCCCAACTATCAAAGAAAGCAAGGACAAAAATCAGAATCAGAAATGAAGAAAGAAGCATTACAAAGGACAACAAAGAAAGTCAGAATATATAAAGAAATGTGTCAGAAACCTGACTCCACCAAATGGAAAGTCTGAAAAAAATAAAGCATTTCAAGATCCAACCAAGCCACCAAAATTAAAGCCTAAGAGCTCAACAACTTAAAACAGATCCGTGACAAATGAGGATATATAAAAACAGTAAAAAAGCCTTCTAATGAAAAAGGTTGAGACCACAATGGATTCACAGCAGAATTCTACTAGACTTCTAAAGAAAACCTCCAGCCCCCTTAAACTATTAACAATATAGAAACACAGTGACCACCCCAAACTCCTTCTGTAGAGCCAGTTTCACACTAATACTCAAACCAGGTAAAGACTCAACAACAACAAAGAAAACTACAGGTCAATATCCCTGATGAACACAGACTCAAAAATACTCAGTAAAATACTTCCAAGCAAAATAAAGACATACATCGAAAAGATTATACACTATGACCAAGTTGGCTTTATCCCTGAAATACAGGGACCATCCAACATATATAAGTCAATAAATATAATAAACTGTAAGCTGGGTGGTGGTGGCGCACGCCTTTAATCCCAGCACTGGGAGGCAGAGGCAAGCAGATCATTGTGAGTTCAAGGCTAGCCTGGTCTAACAGTTTTCCTGTCTCGAAAAACCAAAAAAAAAAAAAAAAATTGGACTTAGTGATAAAAAGTCACACGGTCATTTCAACAGATCAGAAAGAGCTTTTAACAAAATCCAACAAATGTAGGACGAGAGGAAACATACCTCACCATAATATAATCTATATGAGAAACCCATAGCTAACATCACCCTAAATTGAGACTTTAAGCAATCCCACCAAAATTAGGAGTAAGACAGGGTCTATTATCCTTACTCCTCACTTCTCAATACTGTGCTCCAATCACTAGCTACAGCAATAAACAAAAAGAAAATTAAAGGGATACAAATAGAGCAATAAGTCAAATTATCCCTATTTGTAATGACAGGATATTATGCATAACTGTTTCCAAAAATTATGCCAGGAAGCTTCTGGAAATAATCAAGTTCAACAATGTGGCAGGATAAAGAAGAATCAATAAGCAAAAAACCAGTAACTTTTCAGTAACTTTCCTATACACAGCAACAAACACTCAGAGAAAGAGATCATGGACACACTTCTATTCCCAACAGAATCCAAGAAAATAAAATACCTAGGAATAATCCTAACCAAGGAGGTGAAGGACCTCTACAATGAAGTCTTTATATCTCCAAAGAAAGAGAAAGACTAGAAAATGGAAACACATCCTGTGCTCATAGATTATTAGAATTAACATTGTGAAAATTACCATTCTACCAAAAATTCTTTTTACACATTCAATGTAATCCCAACTACAATACCTATCTCACTCAACATTAAAAAAAAAAAATCATATGGAGCCATAAAAGACCCTACATAGCTGAAACAAGCCTGAGCAAAAAAGAACAATGCCAGAGGGATTACAATTCCAGGTCTTATAGATATTTTACAGAGCCATAATAATTAAATATGGTACTGACACAAAAGCAGACATGTAGACCAAAGGAACAAAATCGAAGGCCCAAATATGAGTACATATAACTTCTGCCATTTAATATTTGACAGAGATGCCAAAAGCATAAGCTGGAGAAAAGAAAGCATCCTCAACAAATGGTGCAGAGAAACCAGACTGGATATTCACAGGCAGAAGAATGAAATTAGACCTGTATCTATCACCTTGCACAAAATCTAACTCTAAATGGATCAAAGAGCTAAATGTGAAACCTGAAACATTGAACCTGCTAGAAGAAAACATAGGCATCCTACAGGACACAGGTGTTGGAAAGGACTTTCTGAACAGGACTTATTTGTCCAGGAATTGAGGCCAACAATTGACAAGTGGGACATCATAAAGTTACAAATTACAATTTAAAAATATGTGTGGTATACTTAATTGAAGTATTCATAAAAAAGGATGGTAAAATAACAGTAATAACAACAGTCAGAAAGTCATAAGGAATCCTGTTATCTAAAACTACATATAATATATGTAAGCCCGTGTAAACATATACATGTACAGTTTAAATAAAATTTCTCATCTGGGAAAACAAATGTTTTCCTCAAGAGCCATAGTCTAACAAAAACCCCAACACCCAGCTGAAGAAATGACCCTTAAGAGTTGTTGGTTAAGGTTGTCCAAGAGACTTAGACAGGCTACTGCTGGGTGGCCCCTAGAGGTTGAAGGTAAGCCCTATTACTAAAGTCAACCATGGACTTTGGACACAGAACCCAGGAGACTACAGCTGGTTTTGGCCTGAAAGCCTCCTCCCTGAGGGCTAGTTTTCACAGTACCACAAAGCACTATGCAAGTTTCCAAGGGAGAGAAGCAACCAATAATTCTGTCCAGCTATGATGCCTATGAACTAAAACAATGAACAGCATGGCACATATCCCTAAAGTTCCAACAGTGGCATGCATATCTTGGCAGTAACTAACGCTGTCTAATTGGACTTCATGCCTGATCAACAAGAGGGAAAACACGCCTGCTACTGGAAATCAAATCAGTGTAGTCATGGATCCTGGAGGAGAACCTACGACTACCTCTCCAACATAATTTCCAACTACATTCTAAAGAAGTATAGGTCTCAACAAAGAAATGTCTCTTGTAACAAGAGACCATTACAGAAAACCACAGGCAGAAAACAAAGGATGGTGTGCTGCCCAATCCTAACTGATAAATCCATAACACAATACCTGCACCCCAGGCTAAGAGATCACAGCAGAAGAGGGAGAAAGATTCTAAGCGCCATAACAACAGGAAATCTGATGTGAGATTTCATCTCCTAGAAATGTCAGAGAAGCTATACCCATGAAGTCTCATCAACAAGGCTTCTTAAATAAGAACTGAACATGGACAACACCGATAGACTAACATGGAAGGGTAAATCTCACAGGTCCTCAACCCTAGACAAAGAACTACAGGGAACGAAGGAATGCTGAGAGGAGAAATAGTCCTCCCCAGTAAAGTCCCCAAATTGGATATCCAATACAAGTGGTCAGCCCTAAAAACCATACATAAAAAACATATATACAAGCAACATTATATGACCTGAGGTATTTACACAGACACACACACACACATACGATACACATAATATATATATATAATGTACATAATTTTGTTATTCTATCAAAAGGCTGTATCACTGACTGTAAGAGTAGAATATTAATACACAGACTGTCATGAAGCTAAGACACAGGGAGCGTTATATATGAAAAACAAGATAATGTGGTCATCTGTTTCAGTCTTACTTTTTATATAAGTCTTTCCCCAAAAGATAAGGATGAGCTCTTGTATAAGAGAGAAAGTTCATTTTTATAAAATGGTCACCAAATTTGAACCATTTATCAGCCATTTATTCCTGAGATATAAATATGGTCACTTGAAAGTATTTCAAAACATGCTCCTGAATAATCTATGAACAGACCAAGGTTTTTTCTTACCTCAAATGCATTCACAACTGTCAGGTGATCACTTCTAGTTTCCTTTGCCAATTCCTTTCTTCTTGCATCTGCAATCTTTTCTTTTCCCTAAAAAAGTAACAGTTGTAGCTTAAATTTTTCTGAGATTATAATAATGATGGGTATTTTATTGAAAATCTAATGAAAAACACATGTGAACAGTTAACTAATTACAGCATTAAAAATGCCCAGCCTTGTCTGTGTCTTTCTTACCAGTGGAATGACAAAGGGATCTTTAAAGCTGAGACTGGCAGCAATAGTGAGCACTGGATCCAAGCAACAGAATAAAGCTCCAAAAAGAATCATTTTTCCAATATGTGGCTCAACAGGTAATCGGGCTAAATGGACGCCAAGAGGTGTCAATTCTTCTTGTTTATCCAAAGCACTCTGAAAGGATAGAATTTGCTCTTACAGTAGGCCTGGCAAAGCACTCCACTAAAAGCTACTATAGTTAGATGTAAACATACAGGCCACTAATCACTCTCTTAAGTCCCAAATGCCCCAAGCATTGTTTTAGATGCCTTCAACAAAAAACTAAATTCTAATGTCAGCAAAGGCTAGTGACTTATTCAAACAAATACAATTAATCTACAACTTGGAAATGTTATGTTGGAAATAATGAAAATCACCTGTGGTAAAACAGTTAAGAAAAGACAACAAGTAGGTGAAATACACAGTCCCTACAATCTAGTTTAGGTGCTATAATGCAAAAAGAGGTAAGGGGCATACATGGAAATGACTTCTGTTCCAATTCCCTGGGTAATCTGGTTCAAATGAGGACAGCTAGAAAAGTATCTTGAAGACACCAAGGAAATATAAGGACACGGTTGGATAATTTACTGGGCTATTTTAAGCAGTTTATTAGTTTAAAAAGCCTATCTCAGTGCTACAAAATCCAAATTCTTAAAAATTATCTACATGGATAGCTTCCATAAAACATGCCTCTGGCACCCTCCAACCTAGCACTAACCAACAAGACATTGCAGATAAACAAAACTGTTCTTTCTCTCCATGGTCCAGTACAGTACAGAGAGGTGCTGTAAAGCATATGTGTGAGGACAACTGAGGTAATGAATTTCTAACTGACTCATAATGTAAATCACCACACACAGCTGCAAACAACAGATGTTCTCATCTCCTGTGCTTCTTTTACTACTCTGGGCATCAATTCATGGCCATTCCTGGACCTCTCAACATGGTTCTATGGAGGAACGACTGTCACTACAGATACTTAAGAGTTTCTCAGAGCATAAAAAGGAAACAACAAAACCAGAAAATCTATGGAAATGTTATAATGGTGAGTGACAGTTCAAAAATTGTTACAGCATCATGGAGATAAAACATTTGTTTATATATATTTCAAAATGTAAGGGTTGCCTCTGTCAAATGTCTATACTACAATTAAACTACTTAAATTTGACAAGAGAACATTATGGTAATCAGAAAGAGTAAAATAAGCCAACCTAGTTCAAGAATACGTATGTGAAGACCACTAAAGAAAAACTTCACAAGATTTCATGTAATTTTAAATCAGTCTTGCAATGAACAAAACTCATGAAGACTTGTATCTTAAAAACACAAGAAAAGTGTCATCAAATCTGACAACGCTCTACTCTGGAATAATAAAAGCTTTTAAGTAGCCAGTGTACATGCTATAACACGCTAAATACAAGTTATACTTTTTTTTAAAAAAGAATCAAATTTACCAGTTCCATTAGGTGCTTTATGGAGAGAGCAATACTGCCTCATTTGATGGTGGATCCATTAATCTACTCAGAAAATAAGCAATTCCACCTAGCCTTAAAATCTGTGGAGACAAATATAATTAAGTATGAATCAAAAAGACATAAAAACATGAACTCAAAAGCTTATTAACACTTTCTAAGAGCAAATTAACTAGTGAGGAAAGTTATCAGATTAAAAAAATCTCAACAAGTTGACTACTGATTACCTTAGAAATAGGGTTAGTTGAGCATATATATACACACACAAGGTATAACATTTGAAGATATAACAACAGCTAGCCAGACCTGACAGTAAGGACTATAATACCATCTACTCAGAAGGCTGAGGCAAGATGATCAAGGTCAGCTTGAGCCAATTACTGAGACCATCTCAAAGCCAAAAAAAGAAGAGGGGGGGGGCTATGAGAATGCAGTTAGTTAAGTGGTAGACAGCTTGCTTTTAATCCTCTGAACCACAAAAGTTAAGTAACAGTACTGACTACTATATGTCCAACACTGTTTTAAGAATTTTGTACAGGAATTTTAAGTTAAGAAAAATCTGCTTAATGAAGCAGAACAAAGTTTCCAGGTAGGAAGTGAGAATCAAACACAGGTACCTTGATCCTAACAGTAACAACTGTTCAATATACATCAGAAGAAAGTTTCAGTAGTTTCCTCACACAAGCAGAATGAAGTTCATCAAACAGTCCCTTTTCCTGGGGTCATACTATACTTTCTCCTATTAAAAATTCTGAAAACTATAATACCATCCTCCATTTAGTTCGTTAGTTCTCCCAACTAATATACCTTTATTTGCAAACAAAGTTCTTCCAAAGGAGTTCTCAAAATTTCTGGTAATTGGTAGTCATCTAGAAGACTTGCTCTAAGGCCATTATACAGATGATAACAATGACCAGGCTGAACTCTTAAAAGAAAAAGAGAAAAAAAGCATTAACAAGAGCATGACTTTTAGAATGCCAAAGAAAGAACAGAAAGGGAAAGTACCCAGTACCCATTTCTCACAAGCCTGTTACACACATAATTATTATTCCATGTCTGTGAAACCCTATTTCCTTCCTATCTATTTGGACAGACCCTAAACCCAATGTCCAAATTTTACTTTTGTTTTTGTAGTTCTGGTTTCTTTCCTGTTTTAAACATTTTTTTCTTTCAATTAACATATTAATAATTTTAAGTACAGTGTAATACATTTGAATATATATGTGCATTAATTAGATCAGTCTATTTGTATATCCTTACTTTGTTATATAAGCCTCCAAGCACCTCTCTTGGTCCTGGTAAAGTACGTACTATATTACTCTGAAGGAGAGCTGTCCTTCAGTACTATAGAATGCCAGAACACACTCCCATGTCTTTGGCAGCGTTTTAGAAAGCAATGAAAGACAATCGTGTCCACAATTCAGTTCCCTATGTCTGAAATTCCTGACCTTGCTCAAATTGCAGCAATCTACTCTGGTCAGAGTTAGAGTTGTAACAATCAATACACCTTATAAGCATACTTTATAACAAACTCTGCTCTAAGCTAACCTGCATTTATTAATTAAAGAACATATTTAAATGTACTCTACTTAGTGAGCTCTCAGACATTGGAAACTCTTTTATGTTTATAATTTAATGCCACAACTAACAACAGAATTAATTCATGTATTTCTAAACAAAATAATATTTCAAAAGATCTGGCCACTGTAGAATAAAAGTTCTAAAATTTTCAGGTTTTTGGTTGTTCGCTTTTTTTTTTTTTTTTTTTTTTTGCCTAAGTCTACAAAGATTCAGTATCTATTATCTAACATTTCTCTAGTGTTACAGAACTAATACTATCTATCACCTCACAGAAACTAACCATATTTCCAGAAGGGACCATATGATATAGTAGCTTGTTTGCTTATTTTCTGGTCTCTAAAATAACCATCAATCTACTCAGGCTTTGTGAAGTATCAACTTCACAAGAACCTGTCTAGAAATTAGGTTAAAGAGGGACAAACTGTAAAGGTTGTAGTAGCAAGCAAGAAAGAGCTTTATAGATTCAGCACACATTTAAAACATAGGGAAGATATAAGGTCCAATAAAGTTCTTTACCTTTCCATGTCTAACATGAGTCCATATATAAGAGTGGTGACTTTTTTAATTTATTTATTTTTACCTTTAAGAGGTAAAGGAAAAACTCTTTTGCAACACCAGACATGACATTGTCACTAATATAATAGAAGTATGAATCAAAAGAAAGCAGTTAGCACAACTATGTGTAAAGGTCAAGACAAATACTGTTCTTATCACTGAACAGATTTCTTATTACCACATCAATGGAGAAAAAGTACTTCCCTTGTGCTTTTACTGGTGATGGTCAGAAACAGTACTGCTGAAAAAGACATTGACTAGAAACCCAACTGTGGAGCCAGGCTACTTCTGTCTCTGCTATGTGCAAAACTCTGGGACTCTGAGTTAATTTAATTTCTCTATTAACTCAATTCTCTTATTCTTAAAACACATAGTTGATACCTCAGCTATGAGGTAAGAATTAAGCATATAGCCGGGCGGTGGTGGCGCACGCCTTTAATCCCAGCACTCGGGAGGCAGAGCCAGGCGGATCTCTGTGAGTTCGAGGCCAGCCTGGTCTCCAAAGCGAGTTCCAGGAAAGGCGCAAAGCTACACAGAGAAACCCTGTCTCGAAAAACCAAAAAAAAAAAAAAAAAAAAAAAAAAAAAAGAATTAAGCATATAAAGCACTCAGAAGAGGAGGTGGCATTCGGCTATTATTAAATAATACATACTTTAAGAAGCAAAACTGTAAGTAATGTAACTAATACAGCTTATTAATTTTAATTAACTAGAGTAGGATGTTGGAGAAAAATTCAGAAAATAAAAAACTGGGCAGATAATTTCCAAAAAAAGTATGAATAAAACTATTTTCTTATTTAAAAAATGTGTTGTTGTAATAGGCAGACATGGGAAAGTACAAGTGCAAAGTACACTGAGATCCCATCTCACCTCTTCATAGCTATTATCAAGAAAACAGATGTTAGTGGAGATGTGGGCAAAAGGAGCACTTAGGATACTTATGGTGGTAATGTAAACTGGTAAACTTACCAAGCAAATCAATATGAAGAGTTCTCAAAAAACTACTACACACACATCCAAAGGAATCTAAGTCAGCATACAACAGAGGTACTCAAATAGCCTACTGAGTGCTGCTTTAATCACAATAGCCAAGTTACACAATCAGACTAACTGCCCCCACAGAGGAGTTGATAAAGAAAACATGGTACACATATACACAATAGAATTTTATCCGTTGTAAAGATGAAATTATGATACCTGCAGGAAAATGTTGTCAGCCACTCAGAAAGGCAAATGCCAACTGTTCTCTCCTATGTAGAATCTATGTGTAAACTCATATATACCTGAGTTAGACAGATGATGGTTGGATAAACAGGTGGATGGTCATATAAAAATATAAAAGGGATGAAGAGTGGGAAGGAAGATAGTTAAATGCAGGAGGCATGAGGTACAGAGAAGAGGGTGTATGTTACATGGAAGAGGGACTATCTGAGTAAAGGAAAAGGATAAGGGGGAAGTATAATCATACAAATGTATAAAAATTTTAACAAACTTAAAAAAAAATTTATACTAATTATTTTATATGTCAATTAAAAATCAAATACTGACAGCCCAAAAAGTGTTTTAAGTTCAATATAGCATATAAGGTAACTCTCCTAATATTTCTATATTACAGCAATACAATTTGCTCACTATTTTTCCCATGTTCTCAAGGCCCTGGACAGTTTCCATCTTACCTTCCTGCTCTTCCTTTCCTCTGTTTGGCATTAGCTTTACTGACCCACTCAGCAGACATGGTACTGATGTTGTTCTGTGTGTCAAAGTGTGTCTCTTTAATTTTTCCTCCATCTATTACATAAACCACATCATCTATGGTGATGCTGTTTGGAAAATAGATACATAAAATAGTTTAAGTACATCTAACTTATACCAAGCCTACAGATGAGTTTTTAGTATTTTTTAAATTTATTTAAAATACTTTTTACTGGATCAAATGGATTTTAGTAGTTCAGGACTTTCACTACACTTCCCACATTCTTCAGTTTTACAGTAGTCAAGCACCTAACAGTAGGCAGCGTCAGTATGTAAGCTGAAGTAAAATGATTCAATTACATGTTACATTCTCATGTCCCGCAGCCATCTTCGTAGCATTTCCACTACCTTATGACCAGCTCTGAGAGCTCTAAAGGGATGGTTTAACAACAACTTCTATAAAATAATTTATTTCAGCAACTGAGCTGTAAGTATCTCCAAAAGAGCATTAGAAATGTTTAAGGCTGCATGTAATTAATTCTAAAATAATACTAACTCTAATTGAAGACAGACAAAAGGACTACATCAGCTTCCATGATTCTTTAGAGTTTTTAAAAACTTCTTAAAAGTCTACTTTGAAAAAAAAACAAAAAACAGTAGAAGAGCTTTAAAAGAGAGAAAAACTATAGTTTATATTTGCCACCCATGACTAATGTCAAAAAGTGACCTTTTTTTAAGGGATTACAAAGTACCTTACAGAGCACAAAGGTTTAACTATGTTAATAATGTATGGGACTCAAAACTGATATAATCACCAATAGCTGATAGTTAAAATAGTTTTTACCTAGTCTCTGCAATGTTGGTAGCAATTACTATTTTCCGAACGCCGGGAGGAGTTTTTTTAAATACCTGTAAGAATAAATACATCAAAGTACACTAATTTCTGACATACTTTTACAACGTTATTTCTTGAGATATTTTGATCATTTTTAGCATTTGTTTATTTAGTAATACATGTGTTTTGTTTATAAGTCTATTATTAGCATACACATTTTCAACATAGTGAAATTCTCCTTTGGTAAATCAGCTCCCACAGATGTTACAAGTGTATCACAAACAAGAGGCAAACAGTCACTCCAACTTTAAGCACATCCTTAACAAAAGTTGGTGAGTATAAAGTGAAGGAAAACAGCTTTAATCAAGTACAGGATTTACAGAGCTAAACAAAGAAATATCAACCAACAAGGCAGAAACCCTGCCCTCAAAATGGATGTCAAGTGCTGCAGCATGGTAGACTAGCTTGAGATTAGACTGGAGTAAAATATCCTCTTCAAATGCCAAATCCTACAAATAATGCTACCCCTACCACAGTGGAAAGAAGAGAAGCTGTCAAGTACCTCTGCTGTAATGCATACACACACCCAAAAGAACGCATTTATCCTTTTGCAAAAGAGAGCAACCAGTAAATAGTAGGCACATATTGTCTAGCAAATGTATGCATATTCTACTAGATTAGGGTGTCAAAGATGGAAGAACCTCCACATTAGATACACTTTTACCTATTCTTCAATAACAAGTTCATTCTTCCCCATTCTCTTCCACTACATAGCATTCTTTTTCTTATACAAAAGGCTGAATCTTCCATCAAAGTATCATTAAACAGATTGAAAGAGTCATAGTATTATCTTATTAAAAAAATTAGAAAACTGGAAGGGAAAAAAGATAGATTCTGATTCACTTCACTTCATTCTACTAAGGTCTGAAGACACTGGAGTATCAGAAACTATTATTCTCACTAAGGAAAGTCTGGATCTGACAGAGCCGGAACAGTTGTAATATATTATTGGTAAAACAGGAAATCTCCTGTTACTATACTAATTGTGATAAGTCAAAATCTCAAACACCATGTCTCAAACTATGTCACAGTAATTTCTAGGTTGGTTTTTTTTAGTGGTATTTACATACTTTTTTCTTTGATTAAGGAAATCTAAACAAGTTACTGATGAAACCATTCTTTACACATTCCTAACACTAACAAAACTAATCTGATTGGTAATTTATCCTAGTTAAGTTTTTGTAAACCATTCTCCAAAGAAATGATTCTTTATAAGGTATTTTTTAACATGGATCACAACTTTAAAGTGTTTTTTTTAAAGATAAATAACATATAATACAGTTAAGTCTGTGAAAACATATAGATAGTGTAAATTTTATCATCTGGGATGACAATGCTCCCCCCCCACTCCAAGAGCCATAGACTATCTAATGAAAACTTCAACATCAGATATTAGAAAACTCCTTTTTGTTTTGAGTTGCTGGTCAGATCAGAGCTGTCTAAGAGACTCCCTGACACACACACCAAACACAGGCTATTGCTATTGCCCTTGGCTGTCTCTCAAAGACTGAAGTTCCTATTGCTGAAGACACACGTACTTCAGACACATAACCCAGAAGATTACAGCTTGTTCGGACCTGAAAGCCTCCTCCTTGACAACTACCTTTCTCAGTACCAGAAGGCACCATCAAGCTTCCAAGGGAGGAAAGAAACCAATAGTTCTTCCCAGCTATGATGCTTATAAAACTGAAATAGTGACCAGTGTGGCATACCTTGGTAGTAACCAACAAACAGCACTCTAAATGGACTTAATGACTGATCAGCAATAGGTAAAGCATGCCTGCTACTGGAAACCTAACCTAGCCAAATATCCAGAAAGAGTGAGGTCATGGATCTTGGAAGAAAAGCTACAACTACCACCTTATTAAACCAGTATAATTCTGAACTACATTCTAAATATTTACCCTTTTACCCACAGGTAAATATAGGATATGTTGCTATTTTGTTTGTTCTTTAACAAATAAAGCTTGCCTGAAGATCAGAGTGTGGAGCTAGCCACTAGTTAGCCATAGAGGCCAGGCAATGGTGGTACATACCTTTAATCCCTGCAATTGGGATCTCACACTTTTAATTCCAGCACTAGGGAGGTGTGGATAGGAAGTGATACGGCTGGGTGGAAAGAGGAATATAAGGCAGGAGGAGACAGGAGCTCAATGCATTTAGTCTGAGTATTTGTGAAGACAGGATCTTGCCTCCCTTTCAGGCTGAGGATTCGGTAGAGGTAAGAAATGTCTCTAGTAGCTGGCTGCTCTCCTTCTCTGATCTTTCAGCTTTCACCATGATATCTGACTCTGGGTTTTTATTATTAAGACCAATTAGGATTTGTGTTACAATATGCCTCACTACTCATCAAAGAAACATTTATTTGCAACAGAGACTGTTACCAAAAGCCACAACCAATGAAAAGGGAGAGAACAAGAGACTGTGTATTACATAGTCCCAACTGTTCCATCTACAAGGCAACTCTTGTACCAAAGGCTCAGAGGGCATAGCAGAAGATGAGATGGAAAGATTGTAAGAGCCAAAGGAACGGAAAGTTTGCTGTGAAATTTCATCTCCTAGAAATGTCAGAGAAGCTACATCTATCAAGTCTCATCATCATGACTGCCCAAACAAGACCTGATCAAGGACAACATCAACAGATAGGCTAACATCGAAAGGGGAAAGGCCTCAACCCTGGAAAGAGAACTACACTAGGCACCTAAGGAATGCTGAGTGCAGGAGAAATAGCCTTCCTCAGGGAAGAGCACACCAGTTGATTAACCAATACCAAGCAGTCAGCTCTAAAAATCACAGACATATAAGCAACACTATAGGGACTCAGCTGGTCATATTTATATATTTAAGAATGTATGTACAAACATACAAGAAGGGTTGGAGGAAGGAAAGGGAGGGGGGAAGCAATGTAAGTACATTTTAATTTCAAAAAATTAACAAAACACAGTAAGTAGTTGTAAAGTTTGCTCAATCTGAGACTGAAAACAAATTTAAGAACATACCTGTGTTTGGTTTACTGTAGGCATCAGTGAATGTAAAGGTATAATAAGAAACTTATCTGAAAATTAAAAAGTAAATTAAATTAAAGCTCCATTAAACACATATGGCACATGTGCAGAACAATAAATTCAGCTGCTGAATCACACAGTTCTTAATTTATATTTCTACATACAGTCAATCTGAGTTTTTCTACAATAGTTTTCTGAGAGCTCCAATGAGTTCCAGTTAACATTTTACTGTTAATCTATTTTATATTGATTGCTTATTCTTTTCAAGATAAAAACAATTTTTTTCTATTAATATGTATACGTCTCTCTGTGTATATATGCCACACATATGGGTGCCTGTGAAGGCCAGAAGACTAAGCTGGGTGCCCTGGAACTGGAGTTACAGGCAGCTGTCAGCCACCTGATATAGAGTGGTAGGAACTGAACTCGGATCCTCTGGAAGAGCAGCAAGCATTCTTAACCACTGAGCCCTTGCCCAAATTCTTAGAATTCTCGGTGGTGGGAGTCATCTTTCTAAATCACACCCATAAAAGGCCACTAACTCCATCTGGACTATTAATAAAACCTCCAATGAGAGGGGGGAAAATTGCAAGTCCCTAAATGCCAATATTTTAATTTTAAAGCTCAATCTTACTAAGGAAGTTCAGAGAAGGGGTAAAATAATACTCTCATAAAGCTAAAAGCTTCACAAGCCGGGTGGTCGTGGCATATGCCTTTAATCCCAGCACTTGGGAGGCAGAGCCAGGCGGATCTCTCTGAGTTGGAGGCCAGCCTGGTCTACAGAGCGAGATCTAGGACCAAAACTACACAGAGAAACCTTGTCTTGAAAAACCAAAAAAACCAAAACCAAAACCAAACAAAAACCTAAAAAGCTTCACAATGTGTGTCCCATCTCTTATGACTCAGAACTTCTAGAAAACATTCAACTTAAAGTAAAAAAACCCAACAGGCCTTAGACTGTCAAAATCCTAGCGCCATTAGTAACTATTTCTTCAAATTAAAAAGGGAGAGAGGATACACATACTACATGAATTCAAGCAGCTATCTTGGAATTATAATACATTTATTTAATACCTGATTTAAACATCACTTGTGACATCAAGAGATCATGTAAAGTGCTGATATTGTCCCAGCCTGGTAGAAAGACCAGTATTGCACCATCCTATATAGACAGGAAATCACTATTAAAAGGACCACGTCAATAATCACAACATCAATAATTACTGACAATCAATTCTATGCACATTAAGTCCTCACTAAAAATAAAGTCGCTTTGAATTTCAGTTACTATTTAAATGAATACAGAGCCCACTAAAAACTCAAGATTTAAAATCCAGAGATAATTTGTTTAGTCTTTTCTTTATATAAGTTAAATGCCTAAATATGGTATTTTGAGATTTCCTTCCAGTCCACTTCTCAAAAAACATTTAGGAAAGTGAGTTTTTCATGGCTTTGATATGTTAATAAAATTAAAAACTGTATTACTTGAAGAAAAACTAAACAAAACTAACCTCTTCTTCCAAAACAATGTATCGAATAAGGGCAGCAATCAAATTCAGATCAACTTTATCATCATCCATCCTTTCCAAAACATCTACGGTACTTGCAGAGTATCTACCAAGATTACACAGAAAGTCATGAAATGCTTGGTAAGTTTTCTGTGGCTTAATCACGTATAAAACCTTAAAGTTAACTCAGTCTGCATATGACCAAACAATCTATAAATAAGAGAAAATTAAAACTATTGAGATGGTAAATAACAGGTAAGCCAAATCAGCATGTTGAGTTGGAATGAGATTCTCTCCCTTCAAGCACATTCTCAGTTCAGTCATCCAGCCACTGTGTTCTTGCCTCAAGTTCACACTTACCTTGTCCGCAGCTCCTTTATATAAACTGGCCAGCGTTCTTTATAGATTGCCTCTTTTTCTTCTTTTTCTTGTCTATTTACATGACCCTGCATGAAACCCCTCTTGAACTGGGATCTATGTTCTTTTTGTTCTGGAACATATCTAAAATAAAAAAGTATTATGTATCTTCCCACATTTCAAACGGTATGGCTTTAAGTATACCTGATTTTTTACATTGGAGATTTCAAGCCAGATTCTAAAGAGTATCTTCACTATACTTTCCAGCAAATGCTGCCCAAAATATTAACTTACTTTAAGTGTTAATATCTAAAATTTCACATTTAAGATAAAAAGTACTCCCTACTAAAGCATATGAGATCTATATGCCATCTAAACAATCTAAATGAGAAATGATTTCTGAGCTGGGCAGTGGTGGTGCACACCTCTGCCTCCCAGCACTCAGGAGGCAGAGGCAGAGGCAGGCAGATCTCTGTAAGTTCAGCCTGGTCTCCAAAGCAAGTTCCAGGAAAGGCGCAAAGCTGCACAGAGAAACCCTGTCTCGAAAAACCAAAAAAAAAGAAAAATGATTTCTAAGTTAACTTAGATCTTCAATTTTAAGTTTGCTCCAAAATAAATTTTTTTTATACAAGGTCCAAAGTAAGACTTAATGATGGCTTAAGAGAGTAACTTGGACTTACTTTGAAAGTTTTTCCAAACCAAACTGCAAATAAGATCCCTTGTAGAGCCTATAAAATAAGACTCCTAAATGTTAGCAGTATGATTTCAACCCAAGGATTTGAATTAGTAACTCCAGGAGTATCAGATTCATCCTAGAAACTGCACAATTCTGCTGTCACAGTTACAGTGAAGGGGAGCCCCAGAAGTAGCATTTACATTGTATGTGTCCCGACTCATGCTATAGTGACACCATGGTGCTATGGTGAGTTTTCAAAACAGAGGAAGTACATGTGTCCAAGAATTATTCACTTGTATTGTGAGCTCTAAGAAACAAAGGGTGGAAAGAGGCAAAGTGAAGCTAAGCTACTTTAACCCCAAAGGCTCTCAGAGTTCAGAGGATAGCTTTTAGATGGAATGGGGAGGGTGAGTGGAGTCAGATGGAAATCATGTCACAGCTCCACCACTAACTAGCTGTGGTCTTGCAGAAGGTATTAACCTTCTAGGCTTTAGTCACACACTTGCACAGTCCATATTCTTACCATATTACTAGCACAAGAATCTAAAAAGTTATTATGTGCCTGGCATATAGTAAATACCAAAATGTGGAAATCATCTTTCCTATTCAGTACCAGTGGCCAGAGTCTCCCTAAGTCTTTAATACATAAAAGGCACCAACTTGAGGTATGAGAACGTGAGACTGACAAAGATCCTGACTAGAAGCATAAGCAGAGAGCTGGTTCCCTTTCCAGTGACGTCAAACAATCAGAGGTAAGCTTCAACTACCCCGTAGTCACTCACAGTACAGTCACAACCCTCCACATCCTGTCTTATTCTTCACCTAGCCATTGTATTTCTTCCCTCCAATTTTCCTGCTGTGCTTCCTTCTCAAGGAGGGAGGCAGCCGGGGTTTCTGACAAAAATCTCTACCCAAAAGACCATCCTCCTTCAGCTCCCCACATCCTGAAGCTAAGCAGGGGATGGGGACTGCATGAAAACCTTCTTCTTGTTGCACCAGTCCCCTTTCCTAGAGTCCCTCCATCTTTTGCTGTCTTCCAGCAAGCATAAGAAAGCAATTCATTATGAAATGTAGATTGCCAATACTTCATCATTTTAACATTGTCAAGCTGTTTGTTGTGTATTATCTTACAAAGTACGTGCTTAATACAGCATGATAGAAAGTAGACAGAGGGCTGGAGAGATGGCTCAGCGGTTAAGAATACTGGCTGCATTTCCAGAGGTCCTGAGTTCAAGTCCCAGCAACCACAAGGTGGCTCACAACCATCTAGAGTAGGATCTGATGCCCTCTTCTGGCATAAAGGCAAACATTTAGATAAGAGCATTCATAAACATTGAATTAAAAAAAAAAAAAAGATGCCTAAAAAAAAAGAAAGTAAGTAAGTAGAGAGCAAGGAATTGAAAGTAGAATTAAATGCATAAAAAGTTTATGGCCAACTATAAAACCGAAACACAGACCACTGTGTTCTGTCTCTCCTTTAGAACATTCCTTTCTCCCTCTAGAATATACTCTCCTTCCTTCCTACCAACTTTCACTATTTCCCTGATCTGTCTAATCTACTCACAATATGGCATCTCATTTCTTACACATTACTTCCCAGACTTTATATAATAGCTTTACCCCGTCAAGACACAAAATGAAAGGGTGTACGTACACCAAGTCTTCCCCTTTTCTTTAATGTAAAGTACAGGTTTAATGTATGTGTTAAATAAATGTCTAGCCAAGATTTAGCTGACTCCTCTCCATGTAAAATAAACTGTAGATCTTTGCTCTTTCTTTCCACTAACAATTTTAGTTTTAATTAACAAGTGGGCTATAAAGTCTTCAAAAAATTTACAAATGTTTCTACATCTGTCATTTGCTTATTTATTCATGTGTGTATTATAAGCTAGGCACTGTGATGTACAAGTTACCAAGATGAGTAAGACAAAATCCTTGACTTTAAAAACTTAAAAATCTTCTGCAAGGGGCAAATACACGCTATAGTCATGACAGCGTACACAAGTGTTATAAAGTGGGAGACATGAGGAAAGGGATTTTCTTACTTAGGGGTTTACAGATAAAATTACAAAGAAAGTGTCAAATGGGATCTGAAAGAAGCAGCACATACTAAAATAAAAGGCCATGAAGAGAGGCCTCGAGTGGATGACAGTAGTACATTCAGTAAACTACAGGAGACATCACATGGAAATACTACTAAAGAGAGCCAAACGGTAAAGGGCTGTGGGCTGAGGAAGCATTTGGGAGCCTGGGCTTTTCTCGCCTTTTCGCATTAATGAACACATACAATTTTGTTCAGCTTGCTGAACACTGCTGGCAGCTTCAAGGCTGGTACTGGTTCTCAGTCAGTACTGAGAGGCAATGAAAGGTACACTAGTGGAGGCACTCTGGTATACAACCTGCTCAGACTTTTTCAGAGAAGTTTCAAGTGCAAAGATGTCTCTTGGGGGGAGGAAGAATTCACATGATAAGATTTGTGAAGAACAAGTAGAAAGTATCCTAACACCCAAATGAAAGTCCAACAGAGCTGACAGTAAACCACTTGTACAGAATGAGAAGACATCAGGGTAAGGCTCACAGAAGCTGGCTGTGTCAGGGAGGAGGTACAAAATATGTCATTCAGCACACAAAGTAAGTTATTAGCATGCAGCTTGATAAGGACTATCCTTTCAGATTTACAGTCTAGAAGACTAGGTAGAAGACTATCATTAAGCATAAGATATACCTGGCAAGACACATTGTTTGTTTTCCTTGTGCTGGTGGAAAGCTGGCAGTAAACAAATGTAAGATAATGGTTTTGGCTTGAAAACTCTGGATGTAAGGTGTCTTATGGGAATGCTCCTGGTTAAAGAACTGATTTAGAGTTTAGAAGTGCTATAGTCTCGAAGCTACAGTAATCAGACAAGAGAAAAGATACAACTATGGTCAGACAAACAGACAAGATTATACAATGAAATATTAAAAACTGGAAATAATTGGGCATGGTATCAGATACCTTTAATCCCAGCACTGAAGAGGTAAAGGCAAGACAATCTGAGTTCAAGGCTAGCCTGGTCCACATGGTGAATTCCAGGCTAGCCAAGGCTATCTAATAAGATCCTGTTTAAAAGAAACAAACAACAACAAACCACCTGGGACAAGCACAAGAACCGTAGTAGGAAGCCTTGTTTAAAAGACGGGCAGCAATAGAAGCTAGAAAAGAATGGAACCAGATTGGGGAACAGAAGAGAGGGTCAGGCAGTACAGATAGATAACCAGACCTTGCTGACCAAGGATCTCTAAAAACACCAGTTCCTGGCTACCTACCCATACTTGGAAATATCATTAAGTAAAATAGAGGATGAAGGACAAATCTGGATTTTTTAAGACATCAAGTTATTTTCATTTGCAGCCAAGTTTAGTAATCCATGATAAATGGATTTAAGAGGATTCTGTCAATGATGAATTATAAGAATAAATCTGACATGAGAAAAGTGATATATTAGTATTTTTTTAACTGATTTTACTGCCTAATGTTTACCTTATTTTTTCAATGATATCTTCCAAAAGATATTCCACAACTGGAAAAGTAAAACCAGGTATATGTATCATTGGACAGTTACCTATAATGGTAGATAAAAACATAATCATGACTTTGTATTCAATGTTCAAAATTAAAAATCAACACATTACAACTAAGAAAGTACAATATTCTTAACCCAAGGAACAGTTCTGCACTACATCTTCTACTTTTCCCACTCGACTTAAAAAAAGAAAGAAAAAATCTAGTTTTAATAGATATTTTACTTCTACAAGCTGTATAAAATGCTCATAATTCTAAAAAATAACACTGAATACTAAACAGAGCCATTTTAGGTTTAACTCAAAATATATTTAAAAAATCTATTACCCAAGATTGAAAACTGATGAGTCCTAGTTTTACTGACAAACTAAATAAAAAAGCATTATTCTTTGTGGCACAGAGAACGGGGGTTTATAGAAAGTTAAAACAGGAATGAATTAACTATTAAACTGTTTCCATATTAAGCTTACTAACAGATTATCTCTGCCACTGAAGTGCTATTTGTCTCGCATAACAAGTAAATCAAGCGTACAATAAACAAACACCAAGAAGCACCAGAGGTCAGAGGGCCTGAGCTACTGTCCCTGCACTGTATCTCACCTGCATAAAATTGAGTTATTCATACCAAGTCTAGGTGCCTTATTAACAATCAGAAAGACAATACCTTTCCCAACTATATCATAATGCTAAGAATGAACTGGGATGTATTTTATAGGCATTTTTAAAAACTGAAAATAATTAAGTATGCTGATACCATATTTCAATTTCTTATCCTTCCCCCAAATATTTGTTATTATTATAAGGAGGAAAGACACTGAAGAGTAATTCTACAGAATATACTTTTCCAAGCAGTCAAATCTAGTTTCAGAATCTTTGTTAATTATGCAATGATAATCCCTGTTAATTATACAACCTTGGATAAGTTATTTAACAGTTCTGAGGCTGCACTGTCATTTACAAAACTGAAGCAATACCAGTACATTTTACAAGAAATAGTGAAGACAGACTTCTAACTACTACTCAGCACACTGAAATCACTAAGTGAGCACTGATATCATTAGCAAACTGTCAACCTAGCCTGTGGCAGTACATAAATGCTACAGAAGATCTGCATGCACAGCAAAAAAAAAAGGTTATAAAAAATTTTCATTCCTGTGGTTTGATTTCAATGATGCTATCTCACTGTCTGGTGATAACACTAAGAAACTAGCTATCTGCAAAGTGGGAGAGAAATGATGCTACCATTTAAAAAACAGGCTTGGGCCTTTTATCTAGGAAACTAGAAAACACAGTTAAAATACAATAAATTAGTAGATATTCAATTTTATTATATCCAGTAGTGTGTGTGTGTGTGTGTGTGTGTGTGTGTGTGTGTGTGTGTGTGTGTGTGTGTACTGGTTTTCTGATACCTGTTCTAGCATAATTATCAAATTTTACTCACCAAAATATTCTGAAAATTTCTCAGCATTCAACGTTGCACTCATTAGTATTACTTTCAGGTCAGATCGAAAATTGAGAAGATCTTTAATAACAGTCATTAAAACATCTGACTGTAGATTCCTTTCATGAATTTCATCAAGCACAATATGGCTAACACTGGACAAACGCCTAGAAGACAAGTGTGAAATGTGTGACTGAGCTGAAAACTGAAAACAACCCTTTTAACAACACAGTCCTGTTTAATACTTACATCTTTGGCTATGTGTGAAGTGTCTGTGTTTATGTAACTGTGGGGAGGGGTGAGAAAGTCTCCTATAGCCAAGACTGGACTTGAATTTCTGAGCCTCCTGCTTTCATCTCTCAGATGCTGGGGTTACAAGCTTAAGCTAGCATACTCAGTTCCTTGCTAATACTTTTTATTTCTTTACTGAAAAATACTCACGAGTCTGACTGGAGCCACTGAAGAATGATTCCTGTTGTGCAATATAAGATAGAACCCTGTTTCCTTGGCAACCGACTGTGAACAAAGATACAAGTTATTAATTCTTGGTTTTCTTCTCTAAGAAAGTACTGAGTTCCACTAAAGTTTGAGAAAAATCTTTATATTTTTTTTTAGTTATAACAGCATCTACCACAATGAAGTAATAGGAAATACTACCCTTAAGTTTACTTTGATATTAAAATTTTTTTCTTTTTTACAGATATAACCTTTAACATTCAAAGATTGAATGAACTTATGGACCTTAAGTTTCTAGTTTGGTAAACAGAATTCTCTGCATTTAAACAGATCAAGCAACTTGAGTCCTAGGAAAGGACCAAAAAAATTCAGCAGAGAAAGATAATAGAGTTAATGACATACATATCAATAAATAGAATCTATCAAACAGTAGACAAGTGGTATCAAAAGGTATAAGACACCAGTTCATTTAACTGGAATAATGATCCACTATTAAAACACTATTTCTAATCATTCCTTAATGTGAAAGCACATGTTTAAAATGGTACTTTCAGGGTTCAAACATGAGTTTATGATAGCAAGCCAACTAATACTGAAACTGCTTTAAACATTAATTCTAGGGGAGCTCATTTTCTAATCTTCTACCACCTACAAGGAACAGGTTCTTTACTTCTCAATTAATTCTGTTCGCTTGTCCTTCAAAAACTCATGAAAGGGCCTGTGGACCTTGCCTTCAAGCCTGTGGACCCTAATTCAACCCCCAAGATCTATATGGAAGATAGAACTGACTCCTGCAAGTTGTCGTCTCTCTCTCACATACACACACACACACACACACACACACACACACACACACACACACACACAAATAAATATAATTTAAAATATGTAAAGTGTCAATTCTAATAACAAGAATCAACATAAAAGAGGGGGGAAAAACGCATCCAACGTTTCACTAAAATCTACCTGTATACAAAAAGAGAACCAAAGTGAACACTGTTTACCTCTGGAGACGAATCTGGTATCCAGTGCTATTACCATTGCCACAAGACTCGGCCCTTTCTGCAGCTACTCTCTCAGCAACCTTTAATTGAAAACACAGTGGTAAATAAAATACAAATTTCTTCAGACAAATGCACTTAACTGTCATGAAAATCTGAAGTTGTTAAAAAGTATTTGAGGCCAGGCAATGGTGGCGCACACCTTTAATCCCAGCACTGGGGAGGCAGAGTCAGGTGGATCTCTGTGAGTTCGAGGCCAGCCTGGTCTACAGAGTGAGATCCAGGAAAGGGCACCAAAGCTACACAGAGAAACCCTGTCTCGGAAAAATAAATTATTATAAAAATTAAAAAGTATTTGACTTTGAAATGATGTTAGAAACTAGACCCGTAGTAATGTCTGACATACCTAAGACCATGTGGTGTTTTCTTTGAGCATGGCATACTACCAGCTTTTTTTGTTTATTTCTCATTTATCTGTAGAAAAACCTTTAAGACCAAATTCTTTCTCAGTTCATCACTATTTCCAAAACATCTTTTCCTGAGATTCTCTGACTACTTTCTTTTAGAATTGTCTACAATAGTTGGAGACCACAGTCCAAACTTGAAAATTGTAATTTGAAATAAAGAACACATTGATAATTTCTATTTATTCTTCTATTTATCGTTCTTTTATGTGTAGCTGAGACTGGTGTCTAACTCCTGGTCCTTAGCTGGTTGTTTTCGAAGGCTGAAGTGAAATTTAATTAGAATCACTGCTGACTTCTATCACTTCCTGCAATGTTGGGCTAACAGATTATCTATGCTAAACCACTAGGACAACAAAAGGGACATCTGAAACAATGTTTTATTTTCACGTTAATGCTTCCTCTGAGGAGCTTCATTCAAAACTCGGTCAATAGAACTATAGCTTCAAATAAGAAACAAGGCTTCCCATTTCACCACTATTCATGTCTTTAAACGCTGAGGGAACAGACCACTGAATGAACACTGAGTAAGCCTAATGGTAGAAGTTAAAGCAGCTTTGAAGAAGACTGTTTCAGCATCTCGTCAGTTCTAAAAACATTTTATTGGCTTTTCAGTTTTTAGATTTGTATTGGAACTAATTTGAGTTCGTGAGCATCTACTATTGATGAAGGAGACGTCAGCCATTCTTTAAGTATTCATTATCAAGTATTTGCCAACTAAGCATCTGCTCTCCTAAGGACAATTCCTAAGTATAATAAAGAATCATTGCAAACCTTAAAAGCCAGTTAAGTTCAATCACAATTCCTTAGAGGAGAGAGAATGTTCACAAGTGAGGGTGCACTTACTGAAATAGCGCTAATTCTTCTTGGTTGCGTACACACGATTCTGCAGGCAGAGCCTTTTCCTCTCTCAATGTAGTCATCCAAGATGAACTGCGTGACCTGAGTGGTTTTGCCGCAGCCGGTTTCACCACTGACTACTGTTACCTGATGGTTATTGATTAAATTTACCAGCTCCTAGTTCAAAAGAGAAAATAAGTGAAGAACAGCATATACTGACTTAAGTCTCAAAAAAATACTTAAAGTTCTCTCCAACTGAAGGTAAGTAAAGACAAATTAAATAGAAAATTATGTATCTAGGAAAATCTTAGAGGAAATAACATTTTAAAAATTTTAGGTACATACTAATATTTTTCATACTAACAATTCACTGTATCAACAAAACCATCCCCCTGCTACTTCAAGAATGTTAGATATTCTAATATAAAACGTACATTTAAATTTTTCCTATCTAGTCTAACAATGTATATCATGAGAATATGTTTCAAGTTTAAACACTAAAACAGCTGGTAAACATTTGATCCTCAAAACCCAGGGCTTCTGCATCTGCAGAACTAAAACACAGATGAAAAGTTTTTGAAGAAGCTACTATACCTATACTGAACTTGTCATAATTCCCTAAACAATACAGTGCATAACTATACTGCATTTACATATAGAGGTATTGTGGGTAATCTAGAGACGATTTAAACTATACAGAAGAACGTATATAGCTTATAAGAAAATATAACACAATTTTATATAAAGTACTTGAACATCTGAGGGTTGTGGTACCCAAATAAAATCCTCACAGATACTGAGACTATGCTCAGTACTGGAATGTAATTCATTCATTCAACCAATAATTCCTGGTTGCCAATGTATCAGCAGGTGTTGTTCCAAGTTAAGAGATACAGAATAGCCGGACGGTGGTGGCGTACTCCTTTAATCCCAGCACTCGGGAGGCAGAGCCAGGCGGATCTCTGTGAGTTCGAGGCCAGCCTGGGCTACCAAGTGAGTTCCAGGAGAGGCGCAAAGCTACACAGAGAAACCCTGTCTCGAAAAACCAAAAAAAAAAAAAAAAAAAAAAAAGAGATACAGAACAAACTAAAGAGACCCTGAACTCAGGAACTTACATTAGACTAGGAGGGGACACACAGAGAAGTCAGATGGCAATAAGTGCTATGAAAAGCAAAGAAAAAGAAATAAGGTTGGGAGGACAGAGCCAGATAAAGGACTGTGCTATTCTACATAGGAGATGTGTGATGAAATGGGACCAATCCATTAAAACACTATTCTTTTTTTTTTTTTTTTTTTGGTTTTTCGAGACAGGGTTTCTCTGTGTAGCTTTGCGCCTCTCCTGGAACTCACTTGGTAGCCCAGGCTGGCCTCGAACTCACAGAGATCCGCCTGGCTCTGCCTCCCGAGTGCTGGGATTAAAGGCGTGCGCCACCACCGCCCGGCTAAAACACTATTCTTGGTAGTTCCTCAATTTTAATTCAAGAGCTTGGTCTTGAGCTAAGAGCAATACAATCTTCCAGATACATATATGGAAATTCTACTTTTTAAACTCCAAAGAATTTAACAGTCTTTGGAAAAAAATATCGGAAAACTGCTTCATATCTTTTTAAGAACTCTAAAGCATTCAGTTAACTTCTCTAGGGGAGAAAGTTCAGTAACTTTTATTTCTTCTCAATGTGGAGCTTCTTTTAAAAAAATATGGCTAACTTTTGTACAAATCAAATTCAAAAGCACAAAGCATTTTTTACCTTTTGCATTCCATATGAAGGCAGCTTTTTTCTGAAACACTGAAATTTAAACAAAAACCATTCTCAGAATAAACATCATCAAATTATAATCAGAATAGATTATAGGTAAAAGTGTCAGACAAATATTTTCATTATTTATAGTGTATATGAAATACCATGACTTAAACAAAATTAATTACAAAATATTTACTAGAGGTTAGTTTTACATTTACTTCAAGGTTAGAAAATGTTATGTGACCCATCACCTAGTAATATAGTAACAACCTATAAATTCTTGTATCACTTTATTCTCTTTCTATCCTATATGGTCATCATAGATGATTTCTACATCATTCTTTCCCCTATTCATTCATACACTGTTTACTAATGCAATAGGCACTAGAGCAGATCCAATGATTATAGAAAATTTAGTATTTCATTTCAGAATTGTAATTTTTATTAGTCAATTTCTGGGCATCAACACCTCATGGGTTTTATTTCATAGGGTTGCCACAGAGTTCACTGATAAGTCTTCATATATATATATATATATGTAACAGTTTTTAATACACAGAGCTTGACAAATTTACAATTTGGTAGATAGCAAGTGGAATATCAAAAAGAACAAATTATTTGATTGATGTGAATTTTCTTAACTATTCTGGAATCCTATACTCATACTAAGAAGTACTAGAATTTATATTCAATTAGATACATCCTATAACATGAAAAAATCTTCAGCAGTATAGAAACAAGGCAGTTTTAACATCCTTCTTATTGAAAAACAACTTTTAATTTAAAAACTAGTATTAAAACATACAAATTAAAACTGGAACTGTTCTAAGTAATCAAGGACATTATTACCATACTTGTGGTAAGGTTATATTTTTTCAATACCATAAATAAGACAGTCAATGTATTGGATTAACATGAGCTTAGGGTTAGAAGTTATAAAGCCACTACATATTTCTTAAAAATTTCTTTTACAACTTTTAATTACTTAAAAATTATTTCATGGGCTGGAGAGATGGCTCAGGGGTTAAGAACACTGGCTGCTCTTCCAAAGGTCCTGAGTTCAATTCCCAGCAACCACATGGTGGCTCACAACCATCTGTAATGAGATCTGGCGCCCTCTTCTGGCCTGCAGGAATATGTGCAGTCAGAACACTGTATACACAATAAATAAATAAATCTTAAAAAAAAAATTATTTCATAATATCAAAAAATACTAATACACAATGTCATCAAATGCCACCCTAATGTATAAACTATTACACTGCCTTGCAAACTATGATGCACAGTCCCTTTCGATGAATGTGCTTCAGATTCAGAAACCCTGTTTCAGAAATTAAGACAGAAGAAGAAATCCAATGTCCATCAACATCTGTCTTCTGCAAGTGCATGCCTGTATACAACACACACACACACACACACACACACACACACACACACACACACACACTGCATCACCAAGAAGTATTAAACTGGTTTTTAGGGGTAAGGTTTGAAAGATGACTCAGCTATTAAGAAAGCTTCTTGCTCTTCCAGAGGACCTAAATTCAGTTTGAAGCACCCAGATTGTTGACCAGCTACCTGTCACTCCAACTCAAGAGAATACAATGCCCTCTTTTAGCCTCCATGGGCACCTGCACTCACAAGCACATTAACTGCACCACCTCTGCTGCTGCTTCCTCCACCACCACATAAGCACACACACGCACTCTCTCTCTCTAATAAATAATAAATCTTCACGACATTTTTTAGAACAGGAAGATTTCTCCTATTAATAAATACTGAGAAATACTCCAATACTGATAAAGTGCTTGCCTTGCCAGAATGAGGACCTGAGTTTAATCCCCAAAACCAACATTTGAAACAAGAGCCAGCTGTGGTGTGTTAGCATTAGGGAAGAAAGAACAGGCAAATCACTGGGCTTACTGACCAGCCAACCTAGATTACTTGATGAACTCCAAAAGAGTGGGAGATCCTTTTTCAAAAAACAAACAAAACATCCAAGGTGGGCGATTTCTAAGGACTGACACCTCTGGCTTCCATATTTACATATCTGCTCCCCCCCACACCAACTAAAAAGCTGAATTTTAAATATAACTAAATTTTAATAGAAATTAATATATCATATGTACTACAACATTTATTAGTGACTGGGAAAGAGGAAGATTATTTTTTTTAGGCTAGAACCTATCTGAATTTTGTGCCTTATAGAAGCAGAGAGAGTAACCGATTTTTGTTCATAATGTAAAAGTTCTTTCAGCCAAAAGATTCTGAATTAATTCACCTTGTTAAGTCTCACCAGTGTCCAAATCATATTGCTCTTCATGGGCATCAAACAGCTACGCAATTTGGACCCTGGATAACCTCAGCTAACCTACTCTAATAGGAAAGTCAACCTTGATCAATGCAGTCAATGGGCTAATACTTTCTCACAGATTTGATAGTGTGCCTTCTCAAAAATAGCAATATATATTTATAAGATATGGACCCCAGAATACCCTTGATATTTCTCTAAATATGTATGTATGCACATTTGAAGATTTTATCACATCTACATCTAGAACACCCATAAATCATACAATTTTACATTTTGACTGAAGGGAGGGACTTTAGTTTGTCTGACACAAATGATAATTCGTACAACCTTAGTCTCGTTGCAGCAGTATACTTAAATGCTGGTAAACATAAAATGGATCAGCTAGCTTTTAAAAACTTAAATTTTATCATCTATAAAAGGAAGGAGTTGCCGGGCGGTGGTGGCGCACGCCTTTAATCCCAGCACTCGGGAGGCAGAGCCAGGCGGATCTCTGTGAGTTCGAGGCCAGCCTGGTCTACCAAGTGAGTTCCAGGAAAGGCGCAAAGCTACACAGAGAAACCCTGTCTCGAAAAACCAAAAAAAAAAAAAAAAAAAAAAAAAAAAAAGGAAGGAGTCCTAAGCTGAAAGAAACTTCACAATTTTATTTGTTTGGACTCAGGATTTGTCACTAGGCTGGCCTAGAAAAATGGGTTCCCAATGGCATTAGCATTCTCAACACATATGCATCTGTGAATAAGATACAACACCATAGGTTGTATGGAATTTCCACCCTGCTTTTCTCTGCCACCAAAGAAAGTCCTCCCACAGAGGTGTCTTGTTGAGTAATCACACTCAACCGTACCAAGCACTTAACTTTCAACCACAAACCCACTTCTGTGGTGATATATTGTGTACCCTAATAAAATTTGCCTGAAGATCAGAGAACACAACAAGCCACTACACTAAACACAGATGCCAGGCAGTGGTGACACACACATTTAATCCTAGCACTCAGGAGGTGGAGATCCTTCTGAATCTCTGAGTTCAAATCCACCCTCAGTCTTAGGAGAGAAACAGAGCCAGGCAGTGGTGGCACACCACTTGGGAATCACACGCCTTTAATGCCAGCGCTAAGAAGGAAGTGATATGGCTGGATGGAAAAGGTATAGAAGGCGCGAGGAGACAGGAAAGAGCCCTTTCCGGCTGGAGCTCCTTCACCTGAAGCTTTCTTCAGCTCAAGCCTTTTCAGGCTGAGGAGTCCTAGAGGTAAGAGGTGGATGTGGCTTGTTCCTTTGTCTCTCTGATCTGTCAGCATTAACCTCAATATTTGGCTCCAGGTTTTTTATTAAAAGATCTATTAGATTTCAAGCTACACACTTCTCTCAAGGGAGGGATGAAAATGACTGATTCTCCACCATTTGCTTTCTATTACCTGCATCTCTATATACCGAGGGTCCGTTTTTTTCTTTTGTAAATCTTCCAATAATTGCTGGTCTAAGCCTACATTTGGCTCATTTTCTTGCAATAAGTACTCAGAATCTCGGTCAATGTATGATTTGTCTGTGATCCTAAATATCTTTTTTTCTTGGTTCAGCGATTTCTTTTCCTGGTTGTCCAATTTCTTCTCTGAGTTAATTTTTTTCTCCTTAGACACTTCAGTACCATACCTATAAGCACACAACAAAGAGCAAAAGGACCAGATGAAGAGCTAATCAGGGCCTGGAACAAAACAAGGCATTATATTCTCCAAATACTTCAAAATCTCCAACACTAAAGCAATACAATGCAATTATGAAATATCCTTAGATTCTTATAACACATTCAGACTTTTCCCTATTTTTACATGAATTATCACCAGAAAATTAATTCCCTGAGGTACTTTAATTAAAACCCACACAATTATCATTCATCCTTTGCAGTCATTTCTACTGTTTTGCTTTTCATGTCAAGGATTTAGTTTATTTTACAACTTTTTTCTGCCTGCTGTCCTTTCTGAGATGTAAATGGAAACCTACATTGCACAGTCCCCAAAATACTTCTAATTTTCCTTATAAATAATATGGTTTTTGAAACCTTCTGAAACAGCAGCAGTTTAACTTTATATACACCTGCCCCATATGGGAACAGAAAATGACAGGTAGGAAACACAAGTAACAATATCTCACACCCAATAACCACTCCTGACATTTACGAAATATGCTATCTGAAATTTTCCTTTTTCATAGAGTCAGGTATAGTGGCACACACCTTTAATCCCAGCACTCAGGAGGAAGAGGCAGGCAATCTCTGAGTTCAAGGCTACCCTGGTCTACAGAGTGAGTTCCAGGCAGCCAGGGGCCACACAGAAAAAATCCTGTCTCAAAAAAATAAAATAAATGTTTTCTTTCTTCAAATCTATCGCGACACACTTAAAAAGACTCTTGAAGACTAAATTTAACTTAGTGAAAAGACTAAAGATAGCTTTGTCTTTTTTTGTTTTTGCTTTGTCTAGCCAATGCTATAACAAAATTTTTTACTCTTTGCATTCTTTATGAGAACATTTTTTTTTTTTATTTTACCCATGATCCTCAGGAGCAAACCAGGATATCTGTGCTTCTGAATCTTTATCATTCTTAGCTTGGACAGAATTCAGCAGCTGCACAATTTGCTCTTCTCGCCGTTCATCCATGTGGACTACAGCTCTCTATTTTGTCAAAAAGAAAAATTGTATCTGTTAATACAAACATGCATACATTACATCTAAAATGAAAAATTAAGGAAAGTAATATTATATTCAAATACATATAAGAAAGTCACAGTTACCCACACTTACCTCTAACCTAATCTCACTTCCTAGGTCAAATTCATGGCAACATTTTTGTGTGCCCTTCTAGATCTTTTTGCTTAACACATGTCTATAAAATCAGCTCTAAAGATGGCCAGCAAGGAGAGCATGTTTGTCTTATGCTCTCAGGTCCCAAACAGAAAATAAGTGGTCATTAACGCCCAATTTCTTCACCAAGCATACAAAGTAAAAGCATCCCTTCAATTTCCCCACCCCTAAAGTGAATGTTCTAGTTTTCTTTCTTCCCAACAAACCTGCTGGCAAATGCTCCACTTCTTCATCCTTCCATTTCTTGACACCCATCTCCAGAGTTGGCTTTCATAAGATCCTTATGACACCCATGCATTGCCTGCCACTATCAATCTATATACTCTTCTTCCCACCTCTAGATATTCCACCTTTGATTTTTTTTTTCCCCAGCCTTCTCTTCCTCCAATTCTCAGTGATGCACATTTTACAGACCAGTAGCACAGCATCATTTGGAAGCCTGTTAGCCAAGTAGACTCTCTCAGGCCCCATCTCAGTCACACACTTTAACAAGGTATCAGGTGAATCCCATGCATATTCAAGTTTGAGAAACACCACATGTGGACTTCAGAACTAGGCGTTCTTTTCATTATGTACCCTCACTTCAATAATATCCATGGGCCCTTGCACTACCAAATGCTAACTCTATTCAGATTTCTCTAGGTCAGTGGTTCTCAACCCATGTGTCACGACCTCTTGGAGTCAAAAAACCCTTTCACAGAGGTCATCCAAGACCATCAAAAAACACACAAATATTTATATTACGATTCCTAACAGTAACAAAATTAGTTATGAAGTAGCAACGAAAATAATTTTATGGTTGGGGTCACCACAACATGAGGAACTGTGTTAAAGGGTCAAAGCATTAGGAAGGTTGAGAACCACTGCTCCACATTATCAGAGCCATCCTGAAATCCTCACTTAAATGCCCAATATCAAACTCTATCTTTTAGGATTCTTTCATTTGAATAAACAGTCCATATTCTCTATATAATAACACTGTATTCTGTCTATGGCACCTAATACACTTATCTCTGTAAATTAGGTACTACATATTATGAACACAGTGACTAAGATACCAGCTCATAAAAATTAAGTTTTCCATACATATCTGTTGAAAGAACAATGAGGCTCCATTGCAGTACTTTCATTTTGTATGCAGAAGACTTTTCTTTTTAATGTAAAAGCAATGGAAATTTAGAGTACAACCATAACAAGCTGAAAGTGGTGAAAGGAAGAATTACACAACTGGAAATAATTTAAAGAGCAGAAATAAAATATGTTAATGAAGACCATGATGCTATCAGACTCAGAGCTTCAGCTCAGAATGATCAACTCAAGGAGGTATGTTAAACCCATATTCCCATGATTCCCAGAAAAGAGCAATGAGCATGGCTTCAGTGACCAAGTTGGGAAGTAAAGAACAAAACGATCTAAAGATCCTTTTAAGAGAGAAAACATGGGGCAGGGGTGGGGGTGGGGTGGGGTGGGGTGCACTATAATTCAAAGAGTAGTTTAGAGGCTATGGAAAGAAAACAAATACTGGGTTGGACCCATAATTGTTGTAGAGATAAGCAAGAAAGCAGAGCAAATAGATTTGCCAAAACGAATGAGAAAAGTCAATGTTCAATTCCACCCGGCAATTGAATAAATGGCACTGACATTTGCTAAAATGGAAATTTGGGGATGCGGTTGGAGTTGAGTTCCACTAATAAAAGCCCAGCCCTGAGGTACGCACACATGAAATCCCAGCACTTGGGTCAACCTGCACTATATAGCATTAATATCCAGTGCACAAGTTAAGTGCACCCTTTACATATATAAGGAAAAAAAGTAACTTTCACTTATTGAACTTACTTGTTTAGGTGTTTCTTTCCCCCTATTAAATTGCAAAGGTGTTCAGCTCCCCATAGCAGCATTCAAAATCACGTAAGAAAAAGGGTCAAAAAAAAAGCTTTTTTTTCCAAAAAGAACGTAATAAAGTATTAAGATAAATTTAAAAAGCACCCAAGAAAGCTTCTATGAAAGTGAGATGGTTAAGGGGAAAATGAATAAAATGGGTTATGTTTTAATTACCTATCTATTTAATTACCTACCTATCTATTATAAAAGGCACTTTTCATTAAGTCACTAAAATGCCATCCCAAATGCTTCTGTGCAATGATTTATTTAAATTTCATTAGAACAGAGATCTTCACGGTACAAATCAAACTGACAATCCCCTGATGAGATTGACCAAATACTGCCCTACAGAATCTTCTTTCCAGGACGTTAAGTTTCCGTCTTAAAGAGGAGCTACTAATCAACAGAAAATTCAGATACAGGAACGAAAGGGAGGAGGAAAAAGACAAGCATGTTACTCACTTTAACGCTAATACCATTAGCTCAACTACTTTTTTCTCAAAGATCTCCATTTTATGACAGAGCGCGGCTGCTTTTGTTGGCTGCTCCAGGCAAAGAACTTAAAAGTGGCAGTAAGTTTTCTAAAGGAAATGATGGCATCCCTCATACAGTCTGCTTCGGCTGGAATCTGAATTCAGCATTCATCCCCCGTCCTCAAGTCCTTAAGCAGGGCATGCACCGGGGCTGCAGCAGTGATGGCTTGGGTTAGGAAGCGCAGCCCGTCGAGCAACCGGACACCCGTTACCGGAGGCTCGGCAGAGGCTGCACCTAGCTCAAAGCAAACGCCAGCCAAGGGTCAGGGTCGGCGGGGGCAACGGGCAAACACGTCCCACCTCGACCTCCATACCTCCTGCCTCTCGGCCTCCTTGTTCTTCTGCGTCTGCTTCTTGGCGTACCACAGGCCGATCTCGCGACCCTTGAGGTGTCCGGGATGCCGTCCCCGGCCACCGCGGCCGCCTCCGCCTCCTCCTCCGCCGCCCGGGCCCCGGCTCCCTCCGCCGCCGCCGCCGCCAGAGCCCTGGCCGGAGCCTCGCGGCCCCGCGTCGCGGCTCCAGCTCTGATGGTAGTCGTAGCTCATTGTCCCGGCAAGAGCACCAGCACGAGCCAAACGCCACCGCTGAAAATGGCGTCCGGGCCCGGAAGCGGGCGCACATTCGCGTCTGCTTTGCTTCCGGCGCCCAGCGCGAGAGGGCGGGCCGTTGAGTGTCACAAGCAGGCATTTCCGGTGACGTCACGAGCGGATGAGGCAGAGTGTGTGGCGCACGTTCAAGTTTTGTGTACTGGTTCTCCAAGGATGCTTAGATGCGGGAAGGGCGAGGAGGGGACGGCAGCGTTTTTAACTTACCCTGAAAAAGTGTAGAAGTTTGAGTGGACTTTCGTTCCTTTGGTAAAACATAGAATTTGTTTGCAAAGCCGTTTATAGTAAATACATACCTAACAAAATCATGGGCCAATGTGTACTCTCCTCAAAGACCGAAGAAGTTCGTCATCTGTCTTAGAAACTGCCTGGCACCTCTTTCAGTCATATAAGTATACACGCGAATCTGCCTTCTTTAAAGAACCTTCATTACCGGAACTGGGGTGTCAGCTTAGTTGGTAAGAGTGTTTGCTTGGCATGAAGGAAGCCCTGGTTTCAATCCAAAACACAATATAAATGGTGTTGTGATGCAGACCTGTAGTCTCAGCAATCAGGAGGTGGAAACAAAGGGATCAGAAGTTTAATGTCATCCTTGACTGCATAATGAATTTGAGGCCAGCCTAGGATACCTGTGTCTAATAATGAGTAATAATTATGGTCATTATTTACTATCTTACCTATAGCATAAAATAAGCATATGTCTTTGGAGTCAAGGCAGAACTCTTGAGAAATGTAAATCACCGTTGAAGATTCACAAGTTGATTTGAAGCCATATGCTGCTTATTAACAAGGCTAGTCAGTGCTTTGTGCCACCTATTACAAAGTAATAAAGTAATTGAGCCATGAGGTCTTAATTATCACCAAAGATTCTCGAATTTGTTTAGACCTTTGAGTTAAAGGTGACAGAGATACTTGGCCAAAAACAAAAACCACAAAATGGCAGACATATATGAGTTTTTAATTGCTTGGTTGTTTTCTTTGAAGGGAAGAATATGCACACACACACAGAGAGAGAGAGAGAGAGAGAGAGAGAGAGAGAGAGAGAGAGAGAGAGAGAGAGAGAGAGAGAGAAACAAGAGACTTAACTTAGAAAGAGAAATGCTATACTAACAGGAAGTAATACAGAATAATCCACTGTAGACTAAAAGTTTTTTGAATAACTGCATTTGAGTTCCTGAAATCTTTTATTATGAAAAGGCAGAACCTCCCAAATTTCATCCCCCAAAATGTGGTTGTTTGTCTGTGTTCTGCATGGTACTTAAATCATCTCTTTGTTCATTGTACGTATGTTCTGTGGGCCCCAGCTTCCCAATTCAAGTTTGTAACCCCATCCGAGGTCATGTAACTGAATGTCAGGGCTGTGAAAACTTTGGCAGCAAAGAAAGTTTTCTGATCCTGCAACACTTAAAAAGTTAATTTGAAGCCAGGTGATGGTGGTGCACGCCTTTAATCCCAGCACTCGGGAGGCAGAGGCAGGTGGATCTCTGTGAGTTCGAGGCCAGCCTAAGCTACAAAGTGAGTTCCAGGAAAGGACCAAAGCTACACAGAGAAACCCTGTTGAGTTCCAGGAAAGGTGCAAAGCTACATAGAAAGACCCTGTCTCGAAAAAACAAAAACAAAACAAAATTAATTTGAAATCAAGCATGTAATTAAGGCAAGGTGTTTTTGTTACACCAGCCCATGTTACATTATGCAGCTTCACTGTAGCTTTGATTTGGAACATCAACTTGCACACACTGTGATGTGCATACAATCACTATGCACTGTAGCAAACATTATCTGAAATACCTGGGTTCAGTCAAGATTATTGTATGCTATGAACTGTAGTGTTCTTAAAATACATAAAAGTAAGCTGCTATATAGAAAAATGATGGTTTAATTGTGGAAAAACAATACTTGCTATTTTCATTCCTTAGCATTAATCATTATATAACATGCTATATATTATATAGCAAATTATTATATCTTTGGACTGTAATGTGCTAGAATGTTTGATTTTTAAAATTTCTGTTTAAATTGCCAATCTGAGTTTCATAAAAAAATAATTAGATGAATTTGGCTTGGGATGACACAGTTTCCAACAATTTTGGAAATAATTCTAAATACACTTCTGTCATCTTGTACTGTGTATTTATGTGAAATAGTGTTCATAAAGTCAAAACATTGATAACTCTAGAAAACACTGAAAATGCTGTACATCTGGCAGTGAAGCTTTATTTATGTAAAAGTAAACTAGCACACCTATCTCATCTGTACACATACTTGATTTTGTCATTAATAAATGGTAAAAGTATATTATTGCAGAAAATTGGCTGTTTTGTCTTGTTTTCTTTTTCTTTTTCTTTTTTTTTCTAGACAGCATTTCTCGGTGTAGTTTTGGTACCTGTCCTGAATCTCACTCTGTAGACCAGGCTGGCCTCAAACTCACAGAGATCCGCCTGCCTCTGCCTCCCAAGTGCTGGGATTAAAGGCATGTGCCACCACTGCCCAGCTTGTCTTGTTTTCTTGAGACAATGTCTCATATAACCCAGACCTGTCTGGAACTTGCCACAGAGCCAGAGAATGACTTTGAGCTCTTGATCCTCCTGCCCTTACCTACCAACATGCACTACTATGCCCAAATCAAGGAATTGTTTTAAGATAAAGTTCTTTATTATTTCTTAGTGGTGTTCCATTTGTTTACCTACTCTGTATACCTACATACCCAAAATTACAAAAAACATTTCCTGAGCAGAAAAGGATTGTGAGTGGAAAAGGTTTAAGAGGCTGTGCAGCAAGCTTCCTGTCCTTTACTTCCTGTGTCTCTTAGTTCATCAGAACAGGTATGATGGCTTTGCAGTGTTTGTGTTCAAGCAGCCATTATTTAACTTGATAAGGACTCCTTCCCATAATTATTACCATAGTAATTGTGGTAATAATACATACAAAAAGGAAGACTTGAAGTGTTTAATTTAAAAGAAATGGTGAAGGTCCTTTTTATAAGAAAATTATTTGCAGAGATTTCTAAGATAAATGATAAATATGAATCTATGTAAAATTGTAAAGAAGTAAAAACAACCATGTTAATTTTGCTGTTGTACTTCAAGTTGCATAAGTTACATACACAATACAAGATAAGCTCTTCATTAAGATGAAAAAGGCATCACATATAAATAAGGAAGACAGGAACAGAAAACACATTCTGATTGACCAGAATGTAATGTGCCAAAAGCACTGAGCCACCCTTTCCTTGTCTTCGTTAGAAAGGTGGGCACAGTGGGGGAAGCTATTCTGACAAAAGAAGGAAAGAAGAAAGGGCGAAACACATTCACATAAAAAATAATTACACTTTTATCTATGTAGTGTGTGTGTACATGAGTGGAAGTCAGAGGACAACCTGGAGTCAGTTCTCTCCTTCCATCATGTGGAGTCAGGAGATGGAACTCATGTTGTCAGTCTTGGCAACAAACACGTTTATCCATTGAGCCATGTCACCAGTCCCCACATTCACATACTTTTAGAAGATTTTGTTGGTTATTGATAGTAATCTCTTACTGGGCCTAGTTTATTAATTAAACTTTATTATGGAACATTTGAGTGGGAAATGACAGTTTATAAAGGTTCAGTGATATCTGGGGTGCCAGGCATTCATGGATATTGTAGAACATATCACACACAGATAAGGGAGCACAATGGTCAACATCTCAAATTCTACCTACCTCCTCAAGTCACTTTTTTCCCCTCTAAGTTTTTATGTGATGCAATTATGTGTGTCTTTGATATTGCTTATCCATTTTGTCACTTTAATCTGTATGTCCTCAAATACTGAACAAAGAAGATTAAGAAATATTTTCCTTTTGAATAACTATGAGATGTTACAGAAAAACATAATTAGTAATAAGTAAAATTTGGAATCCAGACTACTGGGTGTGAGAAAGACTGTTATAGTGCTATGCTTTCAACAGCTTACAATACTATCCTTCTCAAATGCTGTCTTTACTGTTCACAGGCTAGAACATGAATGCATAAACATTGTGTTCAAAATGGCAATATTTGGTGCCTGCTTTCACAAACATCTAACCTCCCCATCCTTTACTCTACTCACTAATTAGAATGTAGCAAGAGTGAGCCACACAGAATCACAGAATATAGTAATAATGGACACTACGTAGTTTAGTTGGTATCAAGAAATCTGGTATGCTCCATAGTCTTTGTATCAACATACTGACCTATTTGCAGGGTGATATGAAGGCCTGGAAGTAGGTCTTATTTTTAGCGTTCTTGAAAATCAGAATCCTTAATTTTCTTCTTTCAGGTCATTATGAGATTTTACTCTGTTATGCTTTTCCTCCTTTTTAAAGATAAGGTGTTATGCAAGAGATCTGGAACATATGTTACTGTAGAAAATAGTCCTTGCATGTGTGTTCTACTTCTAAAAGTTGCTGGTTTGATATCATATTTGGGCTTATTAATAAAATCTATGCTAGTGAATCCTTGACTATCAGAGTCTGGTGAATGTGTCCAGCTAATTCAACCTTGTTTCAGCAACTGGTGTTCTGATGGCTGCCATTCCTTGTTAGCTTATTGGCAGAAATTTCACTTGACTTCAGCCGTATGGATACTTGGCTCCATCCCAGTAATCCCTGTGCCACCAACCAGCATCTATTGCCTCTTTATTTCCTGTGTGCTATAGAGGAGCGTTTCTGAACTGTTTAAGAGTTGAGGGAAGTTTTGTAGTGTTGTTACAATTTGTACTGGGGAGTTTTGTGTCAAGTTGATTCAAGCTAGAGTCATTTGGGAAGTGGGAACCTCAACTGAGAAAATACCCTCTTCAGATTGGCCAGAAGGCAAGACTGTGAGGCATTTTCTTGATTGATTATTGATGTGAGAAGATCCAGCCCATTGTGGGTGGTGCCATCCCTGGGTTGGTGATCCCGAGTGCTATAAGAAAATAGGCTGGTTTATTCCTAATAGCAAGAAACTGGAAACAACCTAGATGTCTCTCATCTGAAGAATGGATAAAGGAAATGTGATACATTTATACAATGGA